GCTTCATTTGTTGGCTGATATGTTCAATCTGTTAGCTGATAGGCTATCTTTTGTTGGCTGATATGTTCCTTTTGTTGGCTAATATACATAATATCACATCCTGTTATAGAGGATATCATCCAACTTATTGATGATATCATTAAACTTAATTAAAATAGATGATATAATCTAGACAATAGAATTTATTTTATAAAAATAATTAAAAGGTCAACAATGGCGGAACCACCATTGAAGGTCTCCTACTAAGCTCATGGGTATAACATAACATGCTCATTTCTCAACCAAAATACATGCATTTGTTATCAAAACGCTCACAATTCAACATACAATCACATAGGATAATCAATTTCAATAATTATACATCACACAAGAAAGTCCCAAATCGATTTTTTTGGGAATTTTTCGAAATATATGAGAATCTCAAGCAATTGTCAAGCCAATTCAAGCATAAATCATGGACAAATATAATCAACAATCAATGAGTTTCTTGCCGTCGACGATACCACCACCAATAACAACGCCGCCGATGGGAGCGAACATTGGTAGTATTAAGCAAAAAGCCGCTGGATTGACGAAATATTTGGTCAGACTGAAGTGACGCAATAGTTTGGGGTGGGAGGAAATACGATAGTTTTGAGAAAAATCGCAGAACAGAGGAAGCGTTTATAAAATAAACGATTAAAACTAAAAAATAACATTGTAGAACAGAAATGTGAGTATGTCCGAGTGGTTAAAGAGACAGACTTGAAATTTGCTGGGCTCCGCCGCGCAGATTCGAACCCTGCTGTCGACGTTTTTCATTTTATTTTTTCATCTTCACAATCTCAAACTCATCAAAACGTCACCGTTTTGCCCCTTCAACCAACCTCTAAAACCCTGCTCTTATTTCTCCCCCTTCACAACATTCTCCTCATAAATCACAAACCCCATCACCGCCGCCGCAAAAACCACCACAATCTCCCCTGCAAAATCTAGAGAGAGAAAATGGAGCAAGGTGACCAAGTGGCAAGAGCATTCGTAGAACACTACTACACTACATTTGACACAAATCGTGCAGCTTTAAGCAGCTTATACCAAGAAATTTCAATGTTAACTTTTGAAGGTCAAAAATTTCAAGGTGCTCAAAATATTGTTGGTAAACTTACAAGTTTACCCTTTGAGCAGTGTAAACATTCTATCACTACTACTGATTGCCAGCCTTCTAGCTCAAATGGTACTCTTCTTGTTTTTGTTAGTGGAATCTTCAGCTTGCTGGTGAACAGCACCTTCTTAAGTTTAGTCAGGTATATTATATATTCTTACGCTTTTCCCTTAATTTTGTTGATGGGTTTTTTGGAGTTGGATTATTTGTGTTGTTGTAAATTGTTTTTTAGGGTTGGTATCCAGCCAAAGGGTAGTGATGTAGACGGGATTTAATCCGGACTAGATTCGATCCTAGAGTCCCTCTCAATACTTTACTTTTGTTAGGTATCAACCCGGGGTTTATGCCTTTTATGCTACCATAGCTTTTATGGATGGTTTGATATTGGAATGGAATCGAATCGAATGAGACTTTAATATTATTCCTATTTTTGCTTTTAATGGAAATTGTCCAAATATATTGTCATTCATTTTTGGGTATGTGAGTTATGCATACTTTGGAGAAAGATGGCTATTAGAGAAAATGAAAGTGATGTTGGCGATAAGTGTAGGTGGAATGAGGAGTATCATGTTGAAAATGGCAAGATATAGAGACCATTCAAAGATAATTTATGATTCTATATCTTTGATTAGAAATTGAGTAAAAGTTGGAGAGCTATAATCTTTCTAAGCACAGATAGCAAAATTTACCTGGCTCTGGCTGCCAGATCAGCATCACTTAACCATACGTCCATTCCTATTCCTTTCCGCTTTGCTTAACCAAGTATATCAGTAATTTTAGTGATGGATTGTCATGAAGCCTATACTAGGAAAAGTGTTCCTTATTTCTTGGAATTGATACGTGAAATGGTGAAAATATTATGATATTCTTGTTATTGTTCATAAAGTGATGCTTGTATGTGGAGGTGATGAAATCTGATGTTATCAGGTAGGATTAGTTTAGGTTGAATTGGATTTTGCCTAATCTGGGTTGCAATATATTCTATTTTGTACAGATCTGCATTTCTGTACCAATGAACCCTGCAAGAGAGTTGTTTTTTTTTTTGGTTTTCCAGTTGGTTGATTGGTATAAAAGATAGTTAAGGCATTATAGTCATGTCATTATGTACAGAATCCAGAACAATAGTGTTTATCTGGCTTTTCAAAACAATTTTAGCTACAGAAATGTTTTTCCCTTATAAGTGTATTATCAGAGAAACTCAGAAGTTCATTCCTTATCATACTCTACATCGCCTCCTGTGCTGTTTCTTGAATCCTCGTTAGAGAGACCTTGCAAGATTTATACAAAGTATTTGTCTATAGCACTTGTATATGTTAGGGATTCTTTTACAGTTAGCGAGCAAGCTTTACAATGTGTTTGGATAGAGAAAGGGGAAGGAAAATAAGGGGAGGGAGGGGAAGAATGATGAGTTTTCCTTCCAAATCTCTCTATTGTTGGAGAGATCAATTCCTTACAATTTAATACCTCCATTTCTCTCCCCTCCAATTCTCTTCCTTCCTCATTTGTTATCCAAATAAAATATAATCCATTCTTTCATTTCTCTTCCCTTTCTTTCTCTTTATTTCCTTCAATCCAAACAAAGTGTAGTCATGTACTATGTAACTATACTCCCTATATGATTTTATTTAAGATAGTTGTCAGTTCTTTACCAATATATAGGTCAAGATTGTAGCTTTCTTGAACTTGATTAAGGAAAAGGAATTCAAATTTCCTGTCATGAATATCAAAGTATATATCAATAGGAGCCACTGTGATTTAACTTTTGGTAGCCTTTTTTTTTTTTTTTTTTTTTTTTTTTTTTTTGTTTAAAAGTTTATCAACCCTCAGCACGTAATTAGCAAATTCTCTAACATTCTTGTAGTACAAGTGTACAACTACCTTACTAGCGGTCAGCATTAGTTATCCACACCCATTAATTTCAGCTTCTCATAACTGAGTAAATCAGTAATTATAGAGCAAAATTGACAGAATTAATAGTGTGGTGGGTTATCATGCTAAAGATTCTTGCCTTTGCTAGGAGTATTATCTGACATATTAAGGATTTAAGACTTACAAATCTAAAGTTATGCTTGAATCTGACTACTAATTGATGCTTGATTGCGCAATTAGGGTACTTGATGGTGCTATTTGGTGGAATGTTGCTTAGTTTGAATTGAACTTAGTGTAAGATATACGAGTTATTTAAAATAGTTCTGTACCGATTGATGTATCAAGCAAGCCGTAATGTGTTGAATATACCATTGTAGTGCATAATAATTTATTTTAATAGGTCTTTACTGATATGGCAATTGGCAATATGTAGGCCTAGCTTGCAACATGTTTTCAATTGGATGATGGAAAAGAAAAGTATCTAGTAGTCATAGAAGTTTAAAAGTAATACATAATACACCAATAAAGGAGAAATTGTGATTTGGCAGCCACTGGATCTTAATTTACATGACATATTGCTTAGTCTGTTCTGCTCCATCCCGATCCTGCCCTTATCTAATCTCTTCTCTTGGTGAGTGCAGATGTTCCATTTGATGCCAACCCCTCAGGGAAGCTTCTATGTGCAGAGTGACATATTCCGGCTTAACTATGCTTAATTTCAGATAAAAAAACATGAAAGAGGTTTTATAGTGTAGCTACCAGATCTAAGTTGCTCTTGTATGCTGTTGCTTGAGAGTAATGGTTAGTCCGCAAACATGAATGGAAATGTGACATTACAGATTACCTGTTGAAATTGTTTTGATCAGATTTGGGATGTTTCTATGACGTTTTGGACACGCTTTCATATCCTTTTATGCATTTAGTCCTTTTGAGTATGACTGGTTGCCATTTCTTGCTGATTCCTTTGTCAAGTGATTGAGTTTGAGCTTATAAATTTTGTTTTGTCTTTTGTTCCAATGAAACATAACTCACATGTTTATTAGGTTACTTAATTACATGAAAGTTTTTAAGTTCTACTTAATTTCATGTCATTGTTGGCCTCATGTGATCACCAACTTATGTTGACCCGTACTTCCTCTGTTCTTTTTTACTTGATTTGTTTCTTATATTACGTTTGTCAATGCAAAACTTTAACGATTAATAATTTTAATTCTTCTTAAGTAAAAATTATAAAAGTTATATATTATGATAGTACTTATTAAGACGAATTTAAAAAGACCCACATGAATATGTTTTTCCTAACATATTATTCACAAAAGACGGTCAAAAGAGAGGTGGTGAATAGTGTAAAAATTAAAAGGGGTCAAGTAAAAAAGAACGGAGGAAATATAAAATTGAGGGAAATCTTGATTAAGACAAGTATATTTATATCACGTGAACGCCTACTTGTAATGCAAAATTTTACTGCTCATATCCCACATTTTGTAGGAGTTTTTTTTTTTCCTTGCTCATTATTAAGGGTTTTTATATCAGTATTTGTTTTTAAAATTTTTATTTTTTTATAATCCAACTCAAATACGAAGTATATATGAAGAATATGTCTATGCAATTAATGCAAAATTTTGTTTCTAAATGATTTCAATCTATCTCTTGCTTCATTATAAAATTTCCCTATTTTCAACCTCTCTTCTCATTTCAAGAGCACCTTAATATTATACGTCTTCAGTCTATAGATGTTCTCATTTTGACTTTATTTGTGAGACAATCACCGATTCACGATTAGAGTATGAATAATATTTAAAGACGGTGGGAGTAATATGTATTATTGTTCATCTTTACCAATTTGGCCAACTTGCATTACAAGAACTTAGAGGACTTATCAAGTTTAGAACAGTTAAAAGGCGCATAATCGAGCTTAGATTTTCCTGCATACATCTGGAGCTTGTAGACTAAATATATACTATACGTGATCGATCGCAATAGCTTGATTCTGTCGTCATCTGAACTTTAATTTTCTTTTGCAGTAGACACTTTTCTTCATGAGCACTCCTTTCATTTTGTCACAGTCCTTCACCTTTTAAATAACCAAACAAATGCAAATATGACTTCATTATACCACCATACCACATTATACACTGCTTCATTAAAAAAGAAAGTGAAAAATAAGATCATCAAACAAAAAGAAGCAGAATGGGTGATTGGGGGCCTGTTTTCGTGGCGGTGGTGTTGTTCATATTACTAACACCAGGGCTTCTTGTACAGATTCCTGGTCGCAGCAGGGTGGTTGAGTTTAGTAGCTTCAACACGAGCGGTCCTTCCATACTGGTTCATTCGCTCATCTTTTTCACTTTGATCAGCATCTTATTGCTAGCTGCTGGTGTTCATGTCTACATAGGCTAACAAGGATTGCCGTAAGCTCGGTGTGCCACTGATCATAATTTATGTGAGTTTCTTGTAAAAAATATATCATGATGGAACATAATTTATGATCCTGATTAGTTGTACAAGGTAAAAAAAAATTCCTTGGTACCGGATTTTTTTTCTCTGTTTTTAATGTCTCCTATAAATTTTTGTAATTTCTTGATCATACAATATTGTATGATTCCCAATTCTCTCCAGTCTCCACCCAACTAATTGATGGACTAGATTTGTGTTTGTTTGTTTTTTTCATTCATCAGCAAGATTTGTGTCTGTTGATGTGATGTAGAGTTTCATGATTTATTACTCAATACAATTCTTAATTTAAAGTCTACAATTCCTATGTGTGCATATTATCTTGGGGGTTTCAGTGAAGCAGGGAAAATGCTACCTAAAAACTTAGCTGTCCATTATAGTACATACTCTCTCCTTTCCGTTTCTGCAAGATTGTCCCATTAAAGTATTGTTATTGTTTAACATTTTTCATTAGGCGGAGTGACAACGGAGAAAGAAAATTCTTAGGAACAAGAGTAGCGTATCATTTACTCTGTATAAATGACTAGTAAATGTCTAGCCATTTACTGTTTGAGGCAAACTTAAAGGTACAAACCGAATAGGAAACTCGAGCAAGCTTACACGGATCGATAGAAGGGGTTATTTTGATACCAATCTGCCATGTCATAGAATACTTTGATTCATGTCTGTTGTAGATCAAGGCCGGATTATCCTTCGCGCTATTCATATAGCCAAGGGCTTTGCCAGTAGGTTGCTCTCCTTACCGGTATAGCTAGTGTTATTAGTCGCACTTTTATTATTGAAATTAGATTAAAGAGCCCCATTTTTCCATTGCAATAACTTCTCATCTGTCAAAGTAACTTTATTTGACCAAAATTGTTTAATTAACTATTTATATGTGAAGTGGTCACACCATCAACTAATGGTGTGGCTGCCAGCTGTCCACATATAAGAATATATGCGCATATATATCTTACTTGAAATATTACAAAGAAGAACAATTGAAAATGATTTGATTATAACAAAATATATTGAATCTTTCCTATAAAAGTATAAAGAAATGTATTTTGGCAGAAAATTAAAATTTTGTAACGAGGAGTAACCAAAATATACATAGAAGATTCTTTCTATTGAAAACATATCATTGAGATTTTATTACTTGCATGCCTTTCCATATCTTAGCTCCAGTCATTTACTATAATAAGATAATGACCATAATTATCCAATAATAATGACCATATCTTAGCTCAAGTCATTTACTATAATGCTTCATATACAGGGGCGGATCTAGGGGGGGTTCAAGGGGGTTCATTGAACCCACAGATTTTTTGGAAAAAAATTATAAATTTTAATTTTTTTAAAAAAATAATAAAATAAAAAGGTTTAAAAGAAATTTTTGTGAGAATAATTATCACACGGGTAAGTTTGGTGCATTGGTAATTCTCTGAATAATAGAGCAGCGCGCCCCTTTAATACATTACGTCTTAGGTTCGACTCCTACTGCCCTCTTTTTTTTGTACTTTTTTTTTTAACTCCTTACATTCACTTTTCAATATTTCATATTTCAAAAATCAAACATCAGACATTTTTCCCCAAATTCCCAAACACCAAAACCCTAACCTTGCTTGACACCCTATGACCCTAGCCAGTAGCCACTAGCCGCGGCGGCACCGCACACCGAGACACCGACCGTCGACCACCTCACGTCCACACGGAGTGACGGAGACACGGATGAGTGGACGAGGGATGACTCACGACTGTTCTGTCTTCTACTCTTCTGAGTTCAGATTTCAAGTTCTTCTAGTTCTACAATTGTGAGTCCTCTTAATCTCTTATTCCTCTACTAGTCTACTCCTATTAATTCTTAATCTTGGTTTGCTTGTTTTATTTTTTAAATTGGTTTATGGTTTTGATACATTGTTGAATTCTTGAATTGTTGAGAAATTGAATTGTAGAAAGTTAGAAGTTAGAAACTTAGAATTATAAATTTTTACTTGTTCTGTTAATTGAAATTTGATAATTAGAAGAAGTTTATATTGTCAAATTTGTGTTTATTGGGGACTTGTGATTTTAATTGATAATTAATTGTGTATTTTGTGTATTATTGTAGATTGTAGAGCTTTTGTTACTATGATTATAATTGATGATTAACTAGAAGAAGTTTTTTTTATTTTTTTATTGTGTAATCCATCCATTTGTAATAAAAAATTGAATTTATGTATTGAATTTTTAATCAATATATGATCATCGTTTTTTTTTTAAGATTTCGAACCCACAGTTCGGAATTCCTGGGTACGCCACTGTTCATATATATATATGCTTAACATCACGTTTAAGTCATACTCCCTTTAATAAATCCATCACGTTCTTAAAGGAGAGATAACCCAGCCAAAATAGAAAGGTGCAATACTAGTATGGAGATACATTTGAGTCATATGTTCTTAGCTATGATAAATTAGTAATAGCAACACCTCTGTTCTTGCTGTTGTCGCCTGGCACGGTGGCTCAAATACCCGGAGAAGCAAAGTGGGTCGAATTCTGCAACGTTAAAACAAGCGGGAAGTCTATTTTCTTTCATGGATTTCTCTACTTCCTCATCAGTCTCTTCATTGTATTTGTAGTCTCACGCTTCATCCATTTGTAGCCAGCTAAAAATCAATTTGCAGGCTCTTAGAACATCCAGTTAATTATCTTCTGTTAAATTAAGAATAATAACTGTTATTATTGGTCTTACGACAATGATTTAAGTATATATGTTGTTCATGTTGATAGTTGATTTAAGTCTAGTACAAATTCAATTATTTTATTCAATTTCACAGATGAATATAATTCAAGTTGTTGAGTTCCAAGGAAAAACTTCATTTACACGAGTTTGATTACGTGTTAGCGTACATACTAAGCATCACTATAGGTACTTCTGCAGTTCTGTTCTGTTAAATCAAAATAATAGGCCACATTCATCATTAATACGGAATAATAGTTGTTAATCAACATATGGGTATTACTGTATACATATGAAGATTTTTTAAGAAAATGAAAATCGGATGCTACCAACATTTGGTCAAATAAGTCAAATGTGACCTTTTTGTTAAAAGCCCCAAAAAAACCTTGAAAATTGTATGTTCAACGGTTCATACTTTACCTACCATTATAGTACTAGTTTACTGGCCAAGTAATTAATCTGAGTACCTCAAAATAAATGGCCAAGCCTGCATATTGGAGGCGATAGGCCAAGATTCATGGGCAGCTGGCCTCTTTATCTTACCAAAAAATAGGGCAGTTGCTGAAAAAACAAACAAAAAAAAAAAGCAGAAGATATAAATTCATTACACCAAAATTGATAAATACGAAGTATATGAATTAAATTAATTGATAGTTGAAATTTTATTACACCATGAAATGAGTGGAATCCCTCGTCCCTGATAATTTCAGAGACAGGGACACGGACAGTCCTTAATGCAGAATAAACTTGATAATTAGCGAGGAAAACATTTTGCTACAAGAAAAAAGTCTCAAATTCCTAAAGAAACTTGCAGAATAGTACAGCATCAATTTGTTCTCTTATTTATGCTGAAGCAGAGCTGAAACATAAACGCAATCTAAATTCAAAAAATTAAGGAAATTAAAAATTGCCTCCCCTCCCTTCAGACCCTCACTTCAGATGTATTACTGAAAGCTAAGCAGCTTTATCTTCAGAAAAAAATCTTGCAGCCTCTTAGACATAGAGATGGATATCAAGAAAAACAAGGAATAACATAACAAGCAAACCATAGATGACAGCATGGAAAAGAATGGATGCTGCACTGGTCTTCATGTTCATGAAACTTACTGGTTGTTGCTTTCCGGGTATTTGAAGAATCAGACCTGGTTGGAGGAACGCAAACAGGGCTGAAGCTATGAGCGGTGAAGCCCAATCGTTCATTTTTTCTCTAACTTGAACGAAAATCTATCTGTATTAAGTGTGCACTGATGAATACTTTGTGGAGATGAGGGATAAGTGATATGGGCAAAGGCAGAAAAAAAGGCAAAGCCAGGAAATGAGAATGTAAAGCAAGGGGTCAGACCCAAATTATTATACAAGTGTACTAAGATATGGAAGAGAATAGGATACCCATAAAGCTAAATAATTGAAGAATCAATAACCCAACTTTCCCTCTTTAACATTATCTCATGACTTTAATTTGCCTAGATAAGGTAGCATTTTAGGAGTCAAGCTCACATGCACCTTTGAAGGGTGTATCTAGTTGTGCTTTCAGTTGATAGCTGCCCGTTGTCCCTAATTGCGGATTTCTTTTGAGGGCTAAAATAATCTCGATCACCTACCAATTATATGGGCTAATATGAGTTGCTAATATAGTTTAGTGGTTGGGAGGGACAGGGGACCCTACAGCAGATAAAGTTTATTCTACTTGGTTAAAATATACAGGCATGCCCATTCCACTTAGCAAGAGTCAAATGGAGGCCTTTCCAGTGACTAGAAAGTAGCAAACAGGAATATCTAGAATTTTCTATTGATGTTTAAGGACTAAGAAAAACAAATCTTTGAGCTTGCGCAATATAAACATCTATTTAGCGGAAAGCTAGACATTTTATACCCTCTTATTTGTCTGAATTGGAGACTTGCATCATCGATGTTTCAATGTATGACTCCTAGGACACAATATTTGCTGTCAAACTGAATTGATGGGGATTTGAGAAAAATTGATCAATGGGACCCAATCATCATGAAAGGGAGGGAAAATACAACTGCTAATTAAGATTATTACTCATGGACATCAGGACATGGTTGAACATCAATATATCAATCCGTCTCTTAACTCGGACACTTCATGTATCAAGATAGATAGTTATTCTTCTGACTACAGACTACTACAAATCAATAGCAATTCAGTTGTTCATAACATCATCCATTCTGTTAAAAATTCATACAAGTACTACATATGATTTCTATATTTCATGAAAATTAAATCTATTTGCAGCATGAGAATTTGAGGAAAAGAAAAATTAGAAAGAAAATGCATATACCCCATGTTCACTCCAAGCCTGGTTTCCATCATAGGTATTGGGATCATGGCCTAGATGGTTGCAGCCACCAGAAATTTGTACCTGTACACTATTTTATTGACTTTGAATCGACACCTAAGTTCCACAACCTGGTAGCTTGCAGCTTGAGCTCATTTGGAAATTACCATCACGGTCAATCATTTTACACACAGAAGGCATATCATCCAAGTGATCCAACAAGCCAATGAAAACACTAGGTACTCTAAAAATCATACAACTCATCTAGGTAAGCTAGCATAAAGGCTTTCCTCAAACATCTCAGTTTCAGTCATCTGTACAAAGCTTTGACCTTCGTCTGAAATGGTCTCGGCATTATCCTTTGCACGACTCCACAGTTCAAACATACAAACATAATGTTCTAATATAGGCACAATACCACACTCTTCAATCATGAATTTAAAGTAATTTAGACCTTCATCCACTCTCTGTGTTTGAAGACAAGCACTCAATACCCCAACAAATGTGATTTCATCAGGCATTACCTTTTCCTTAATCATCTCCTCAAAAAGTCCCAATGCCACATCCCCACACCCGTGCACACCCAAGCTCGAAATCATCGAGTTCCAAGTAGCTAAGCTCCTTCTTTCCATCATATGAAACACTTTTATTGCCTCTTCTAAGCTACCACATTTACTATACATGTCAAGGAGGGCTGTTCCAAGGTATACATCCAATTTAAACCCATTACTCAAAGCATATTCATGGAGCCAAGCCCCTAAACTAAGACTCCCCAGCTCAGTACACGCTCTCAGCAAACTAACAAGAGTAAACTCATTAGGTTTCACTCCTTCAACCTGCATTTGGGAGAACAACTCGAACGCCTCTTGAGGCCTCCCATTCGACACATACCCATTGATCATAGCAGTCCAAGAAACCACATTTCTCACAGGCATTTGATCAAACAGTTTCCTAGCACAATCCAACTCCCCAAACCCAACCAAACCCGAAACCATCGTAGTCCAAGACACAACATTTTTCACAGGAATTTCGTCGAACACCTTGCGTGCACACTCTGAACTCCCACATTTCAAGTACATATCCAAAAGGGTATTCTTAACAAACAAATCTTTACAATAAAACCCAGATTTAATAACAGAAGCATGAACCTCCTTACCCTTTTCAACAGCCGAAGAAGCAGCGCAAGCTTTAATGACAAAAGGGAAGGTGAATTTATCAGGTGGTACCCCAGCACATATCATAAGATTGTACAAAATGAGAGACTTTGAAGAAGAAGAGTTGATTGTATGAGCTCTGATGATGAGATTCCAGGAGAAGGTTGAAGGAGATTGAATTCGATGGAAGATTGAAGAAGCGTAGTTGAGATTGCCAAAGGAAGAATAAAGGCGGAGTAACTGGGAGGCAAGAATTGGGTTGGTAGAGAGATTTGAACGGATGATTTTAGCATGGATTTGGGTAAGATGTTGTGAGTTAGTGCAGTTTTGAAGGAGAGGCTGGAAGTTTGGAGGAGAGAGAGAATCGGGAGGGAAGGAGAAGCATAAGGCCATGAAAGCAGCTGCTCTGAACTCGGAGGCTCAGAGCATTGCTGAAAGTGCCCGAGGGTCAAGGGGATGTAACCGTGGCTCGTGGATGGATTAGGCGGGCCACCTAAGTGCTTGTTCGTTCACATATTCCCTGTTGTTACTTCAATGATTCAATCCGATTATCTTCGTCGAATCCTCTGACTTTTAAAAATTCACATTTTACTCCTAATGTAAGGAAAATTTTATGGATATATGAGAGTAATTACAATGGTCGGCTAATTCTTTTAAATTTTTAATAGCTTGTTATGTCACATCTTCTAGCTACAATAATTCTAGATATTTGTTGCTCTAATAATTAAGTTAGTTGTAAATTAATTAATTTTTAAATTAATAATACTTTTTATTTAATAAATATTTACCAAGCTAATTAGCTCCACAAAGCTAATTTGCTTGCCAAAGCTAGTCAACAAGATGTGCAACAATGGTATAGCTACTAGCTTAATATTTTTAATATTTGCAAGCTAGTCTCTTTTCCTAACTATTGGAGTTGCTCTGACAATATAATATATTACTCCTTCCGTTTTCAAAAATACTTGCTCCATTTCTCCATGAGTGGAGTTTTCGGAGAAATGGGAGAAAATAATAAAATATGGATGTAGTGGGGTGGGTGGAAGAATAAAAAATTATAAAAAGCAAAAGTAATTGAGGGAATTGGAAGAGAGAAAATATGAAATTAATAAAATATGATTTTGTTGGGTCCACTAGTAGAGAGAAATGAATTAAATATTGTAAAAACTTTCTAAATAAGAAAATGGAGCAAGTGCTTAAAAACGGCAAAGTGGAGCAAGTATTTAAAAATAGGGGGAGTATGATGTATGGAGTAGGAATATTTTGTAACCTTATGATTGAACACAAAGTTTAATCTTATTAGAAATGCAAATGTTGTAAACTTGTAATAATGAAACAACGGAAGAATTATTTAAGTAATAATGAAACAACGGAAGAATTATTTAAGTAATTTAGTGTATGAATTTTGGTTTGGTCTAGAATGATGAAATTCTATTGTGTTGATTTTCTGATCTTGTACTAATACACAATCAAATTCGATGGAATCTTGATAGTTAAGTTTTAATGTGCATTTTAAAAAGTATCAAATTTAACCATTTTTTATCGCGTAAAAAAACTTGAAACTCCATAATATAGAATTTGAAATAAAATAATTCATAGTAATAGGGGGTATACACCTAAATTAAATAAATAACCAAAATAAGTACAAGTAATTTATGAAAAAAGTTGAATACAAAGCTACTCCATCTTCCCAGAATATATGACATAGTCAACATTTTACACATGTCAATGCACTAATTTAACTTTATTTTTATATAATTAAATATTAATGAAAATTATTTTAAAAATTATATTATGAAACTTTATATTAATATCTATCTAACAACATATTTTATTCTATTATGTTAGTAAAAAATTATGTTCAAAGCTAATACATAAATAGTGAAAAAAGTCAAACGTCTCATGTATTCTGAGACAGAGGGAGTATATTAAAAGTAAAGGTGTTTTAGACTTGTATAGAGTCAAAAAAACCGACTTAGTTTTCGACTTGTATAGAGTCTATAGACACAATAATTTAGTCATACTCCATAATTTGAACGAGACTAAGGCGATAAAAATACGTCCTTTGGTGCTTACCGAATAGCGAATAGCGGTACTTCCAAGTTCCAACACAATTGTCGCTCACATCACACTCCATTTTTCCTCCTCACACTACACACTTCTCAAGTCCCCTCTTTTCCACTTCCTTAATTTTCTCACCCCTCTTTCTCTCTCCTTCACCGACTATTCCAGAAAATCACCCAAAAATCCAAAACCCCGTAATTTCCTTAAACAGGGTAGGTGGGCCCCGTCAAAGTAACCGGTAACCGGGAAGAATAGAAGAGAGATAATGGCAGATTGGGCACCAGTACTAGTAGGAGTAGTACTATTCGTGTTATTGTCACCGGGATTACTGTTTCAGTTACCGGGTTACAACCGATCTGTTGAGTTCGGAGGTATGAAGACTAACGGCAAAGCCATCTTTATTCATACTCTTATTTTCTTTGCTCTTTATACTATTTTCATCCTCGCCGTTCGTATTCACATTTATACTGGCTGATCTAACGCTTCTTAATCTTCATTTTGCTTTGATGTTCAAATAATTTTTGAATTTGTATTTTGGGTTTGTAATTTCCTAATTGGACTCATGAAAGGTAATTGCTCTTTTATTTTCTTGTCAAATTAAAATTAGTTTGTAGAATTATTACCCCAAAAAAAAAAAAAAAAAAAAAAAAAGAAGAAGAAAAGCAAATGGGTAAAGATTGGGTTCTTTTTTAGCATTACTTTGCATTTCTCGCCTTTTGTTTTTCCTTCCTTTTTTTCAGCTTTTTTCTATGGCAATCATATTGGGATTCGATTTAGTTGCTAAAACAAAGTACTCGTAATTCTTTAGGAATTAGATGTGCACTACCGATTTACAAATGTTTCGATTAATTTCTGCTTGCTCGCTTATGCCATTTGGCGAGCAATGATTATGAATTTGCATGTAAATTTACTAAACTCGTAATTCTTCCAGTCAATGTCCATGGTAATAAAACTCCGTCCCCAAATTTTATATTGGCCACGGCTCACGGGTTGAACTCATATATGAAGTATTGTAAAGTTGTAATCAAGTAAATCAACCCCCTAAAATCCAAATCGCTCTTATAAATGCGTCCCATATGAGAGATTCCTCATTGGTTTATTAGTTGTAATCAACCCCTCTAATTTATTAATTGGTGTTTAAATAATTAAATGTACTTTGTATAATATTTATTACAATGAATTGAGGATCTAAATTTGGATGGTAAATTGATGGAAATGTGGCCTATTTATAAGAGATGGAAGAAATATACAATGCATTTGTTTTACTGTATTACCGAGCTTATTTATAGCAAAGAATAAGGTGCAACAAATTTGAGACTTGTGACATGGTGTAAGTGCTAACGAGGACGGTTCATTTCAGAGATGAGATCCATTTGCATCGAATACTGTCCATAGAACTCTGAACTTCCTGCATATTCGTTATTGCCATTCGAGGGCACGGGATATAGATCCTGGTCGATTATGTCAGTTGTCTGAATGTAGTTCTGCTTGACCAATTGATGCTTATATTGCTTCTTCAAACCCTCTAATTTAACAGCCACTTCCTTCATTGTCGGCCTATCTTCACGCTCGATGTTTAGACATTCCTTTACTAGTTTAGCCATTGTAACTAGCTGCTCTTTGCTTGCTTCCTTCACCAATTGAGAGTCTAGGATTTCCATCAAGTGGTCTTCTTTCATTGCCAAGGCAAAGTATGCTGCCAAATTTCTCTCTTCCATTTTCCTGTCCAAGGAGAGAGGCCTTTCCTTGGTTATGAGCTCGGCAAGAACAACTCCAAAGCTATAAACATCGCTTTTCTCTGTAAGCTGGCTTGTATGAAAGTACTCTGGATCTAAATATCCCAATGTTCCTTGAACTAGTGTTGTCACCCGAGTTTGATCCATCGCTATCAGCCTAGAGGCACCAAAATCAGATATTTTTGCTGTGTAGTTTTCATCTAATAATATGTTAGTGGATTTAACATCTATATGAATTATTGGTATTGAAGCGGCTGAATGTAGATATGCTAGTGCATCAGCAGCCTCTGCAGCAATTCTAATGCAATTTGCCCAAGTAAGCCAAGATATGCCACCCTTAGATCGATGGATATGCTCAAAGAGAGTACCATTTGAGATGAACTCATATACGAGCAAAGGAACCTCTGTTTCCAGACAACAGCCTAAGAGTTTTACGACATTTCGATGGTTAATCTGTGTCAGAATAACCACTTCGTTAATGAATTGCTCAACTTGAGTTTGATCAGCCACTCATGATTTTTTGATTGCAACTTCGCGACCATCCTTTAGATTTCCTTTGAATACTGTACCATAACCACCTCTACCCAAAATACGATCTTCACTGTAGTTATTTGTTGCGGCTTTTAGTTCATCAGCAGAAAATATATTGGAAGAATCCATAGTTCCTCCGGTTTGAAAAAGTTGATGCCTGTATAAGAATCCCCCATTTTGCTCAAAAAATTTCTCCCTCATTCTGATTAACTTCTTTTTCCTGACGGTAAAATATATCCAACTTGCTAATATGAGCAAGAACAATAATCCAAAGCTCATGCCTGCACAAAAATTTCAGGCAAAATTTATGTAAAAAACAATTTGAATTAGTTACATTCGGATTTAATAAATAAAAATCATCTTAGAATGTTAAAATAAAGTTACAAGTGAAATTCAGTTTAGTCAGTAATAATAATTGCAGAGGTTTTTCTTAACTATGGCAGCAACCAGCAAGGCTAGGCCACAAGGGCTTTACTCGAGCATAACCTATTAGCCAAAACGCTTAATCTTTCTAACGACATTGCTATGTAGCAAAGTATATTATAAAGCATAAGGTAGTGAATCCATATAGCTAAGAACACTGAGTGACTGAGGGGGAACTTACATAAACTGAACCTGGTAGCAAATAGTGATGAGTGAATGCTATAACAGCCGGTGCCATTGTTTAAACCATCACCCAAGTATCCTTTAGGACATGAGCATATGTAGCTGCCTTGGGTGTTAGTACAAATATGAGAGCATAAATTGGTTGGACCTCCACACTCATCAATATCTGCAAAATAAAAAATGTTAAGGTGCCATGGGTGTCAGTACAAAAAGGCTTTTTTTTTTTTTTTTTTTTTCCCTTACAAAACTACTTTTAGTATATAGGAAAACTCATTTGTTTATGCAAAATTGACAATATGATACGTTCTAGCTAATTCATCTCCATTAAAGGGCAAAATTTTAGTCTTTTGATTATGTTGAACTTACATGTATAGTGTCGTGCCTATATCTAAGTCTATCACACAATTTGATTGTTATGATTATGACGAACTTACATGTATAGTGTCGTGCTTATATCTAAGTCCATAAGTGTGTCGTTCGTAGTGGTCAATTGATATTAGATCATTATTTGTGAGGCTCATCAATTTAAAAATTTGAAAAGCCTTTATGTCCTACATTTTAATTAAAGACTTTTTATTCTTTATGTTCTATTTTACTTGCCTAGTTTTTATCTTTAAGAATCCTAATTTACATGATTCATTTATTATAAGAAATTTATCCCTTTCACTTTTTGTTTTGAGTTTGGTCTTCACCACCCATTTATTTTTCTCTAAACTTTTTTCACTTGCATAAATCCTATGCAAATGGATATAGGGCAAGTAATTTGAGATGGAGGATGAGTAATAAATCTCACAATATTATTTTACATTTATTAACTTTGTATCATTGCTCATTATGATTAAATAATTGACTCATTTTTATAACACTCACTCTTCTTGAGCCCTACTCGAGCCCTCAATTTAATGGAGATGCTCTTAAAAGTTTAGTGTAATGACCCACCTTATTTCAATCCAAACCTATGAAAATTAAATTTTTGAATAATTTCAACTTGTCGTGTGCTTCTGCGTTTATGTCCAAGGAAGCATGAGTGCAACATGACACATACATATAAGGTGTAAGTTGTGATTTTTGTAGTACTTCCTCTATACCTTATTTTTTTCCCTATTTGACTTTTTACGGTCTCTAAGACGCGTCTTCAAATGTATATATTTTCATTTCTATACGCGTTAAAAAATATTAAAATTTGATGTTAATAAACTATACAATGAGGCAAAAAATAAGTAACAATGAGGCGATCCTATACAATGAGGCGATTCTAACAAGATCTCACATGAATATATTATCCACTTATAAGTTAACGAGAATTCATGGTCAAAGTTTTAAAAGTTTGACCCATATTTTTACAATGGGGCAAAAAATAAGGGATGGAGGGAGTAGTTATTGTCTAACAACATTTTGTACTAGTTGGTCACACAATCAATAACATAGGGGAATTAATTGGAGTATCATGGTGGTAACTAAGATATGAGATCAAATTACGTCTACATCATTCCCTCCATGTGACTATACAGGGGTATATTTTGGTTGATGTATGTAGGAGTGTAGGACGATTGGACAACAAACTCATGCTGACTTCAACCATTACTGTATAGGCTGGTACAGAACATCAACTTAATAATAAAAAGGAAGGAAGTAGAAAGGGACCTGTACATCCAGGGGTAAGATAATGTCTTAGATACTACTATAGAACGTAATGCAGATGATGGTATTAGTACGGAGGGAGGGTGGGATAAAGAAGCAGGAGGGACTCTCTGTATAACCGAACCCATTCTGAACGAGCAAAATTCTGAGAGAGATTCTTCCAGATTAAACGAGGCGCCAGTAAGCTTTCAGTTTTCTATTGGGAAGGGTGAGGGGAAGTTGAAGAATATTAGAAGAAAGGGAGGAGGAAAGCAGAACCCAAAGCAGGAGAATAAGGGGGAACAAAACATACTTAGGAGTTCGGGTGATGGAGAAACAGGCTTGCAGGGATCAGGGGGTAAACGCAAGTTTGCTGACAATATGGAGATTGATGGTCAGGAACGTGAGGAACGTTACTTGGAGAAAAAGAAGGGCAGAATGGAGGATATGGAGGGCACTGATTGCATGTTGATGAAAGTAGCGGTGGTGGAGCAAATCCCACCCCGCGAACAGCCATGAAAATATTAAGTTGGAACTGTTGGGGAATTGGCAACTCCCGGACAGTTCACTCCCTCCGAGACCTTTGCTGGAGGGAATTGCCAAATGTGGTTTTTGTTATGGAAACCAAAATCAGTGCGAGTAGACTTGAAATAGTTAAGAGGAAGTGTGGATTTACTGAAGGTATTTGTGTGAGTAGTATTGGATTGTCAGGGGGGATTGGTTTATGGTGGAGGGATGTGAAAGCTCATGTCTTTTCTTATTCGGCACATCATATAGCGGTGGATATTATGGATGAGAATGATAGGGCTTTATGGAGGGCAGTGGATATTTATGGGTGGCCAGAAACAGCCAACAAATACCGTACATGGCAGCTTATGGAAAGTCTCCAATCATGTATCCAAGAGCCCATTGTCTATTTTGGAGACTTTAATGAGATCCTGAGTTTGAGTGAAAAGAGGGGTGGGCCGCAAAGAGAGGAGTGCTTTATGGATAAATTTAGGGAGGTGATTGACAGGCTTGGTGTTAGGGACTTAGGCTTCAAAGGTAACGCTTATACATGGCAGAGGGGGTTATCTGAAGCTACGCTTGTGCAGGAGAGGTTAGACAGGTTCATTGCAAATACTCCATGGTGTGACTTGTTCCCGTCGAATGAGGTTCAACACTTGCCTTTGAATACCTGTAGGTCTGACCATGCGCCAATCATCATGCGGGCTGGGAATAGAGAGGAAAATAAGAGAAAGAAAAAAGTATTCCGTTTTGAGGCGTTTTGGTTATCTGATGCAGAGTGTGAAGCAGTGGTTAGGGAGGCATGGACTGGAGGGTTGTATGGAGATATCCCAACAAGAGTTGCTGGATGTGCGACAGATTTAGAGAGGTGGGCTGCCCGAAAGTTTGGAAGCTTGAAACGGAAAATCCGTAGAGCTGAGGAAGACTTGCTGTGTTTACAGCGCGGGATGATGGATAATAATAGGTTGATACAATGTAGAGCTAAGTCTGAGGAGCTCGACCACCTGCATTTATTAGAAGAGTCATACTGGTACGCCAGAGCAAGGTCAAATGAGCTGAAAGACGGAGACAAGAACACTTCATACTTTCATCACAAAGCTAGTGCTCGAAAAGCAAAAAATGCAATAGCAGGTCTTGAAGATCAGAATGGGGTTTGGAGGCAAGATAAGAAGGGCATTGAACATGTGATTGCTGACTACTTTGCCACTCTTTTTGACTCGAATGGTATTGTTGGTGTTAATGAAGCTCTTGTGGGCATCTCTCAACAAGTTACAGAGGACATGAATGATAGCTTATGTGCTGCGCCTACGAGTGAAGAAATTCGAACTGCATTGTTTGAAATGCACCCTAACAAAGCCCCTGGTATAGATGGTATGCATGCCCTCTTCTACCAAAAATTCTGGCATATTGTTAGAGATGATATTATCAATTATATTACTAGTTGGTGGTCTGGTAACATTAACATTTCGGATATTAATAAAACGTGTATCGTTCTTATACCGAAATGTGAGAAACCCAAAAGAATGACTGAATATAGACCAATTAGTTTATGCAATGTTTTATATAAAATCATCGCTAAAACGCTTGCAAACAGATTAAAGCCATTACTAAACAAATTGATCTCCCCTCAACAGAGTGCGTTTGTGCCAGGTAGATTGATTACTGATAATGCCCTCTTAGCTTTTGAAGTCTTTCATTCGATGAAGAGGAGAGGGGAAGGGAGGTATGGGAATGTGGCTTTGAAACTAGATATGATGAAAGCATATGATAGAGTAGAGTGGGGATTTGTTGAACAGACTATGCTCAAGTTCGGTTTCAAGGTTGAATGGGTGTGCAATGTATTTCAACTGTATCTTTCCAGTTCAAAGTGAATGGGGATGTTGTTGGAAATGTGACTCCTAAACGTGGTCTCCGACAAGGAGATCCCATCTCCCCATATTTATTTCTCCTAGTAGCAGAAGCTTTCTCCACCCTATTGTCAAAAGCTGTCTTGGATGGTCATATTCATGGTGTGAAAGTTTGTAATGGTGCCCCACGAATATCCCATCTTCTTTTTGCCGATGACAGTATTCTGTTTATCCGAGCTAACACTCTTGAATGCAGGAAAATTGCAAATATCTTGCAGGTTTATGAAAATGCTTCAGGCCAGAAGATTAACCTCGGCAAATCTGAAGCTGTGTTTAGTAAAATGGTTCCTGCAGAAAGAAGACGTGAAATTTGTGCCCTTCTTGGAGTAAGACAGGTAAACAGAAATGAGAAATACCTTGGGATCCCGACAATCGTTGGTAGATCAAAAAAGGCTATCTTTTCTACATTAAAAGAAAGAATCTGGAAAAAACTTCAAGGGTGGAAGGAAAAATTAATGTCAAAGCCGGGGAAGGAAATTTTGATTAAAGCAGTAGCTCAAGCAATCCCGACATATTTGATGGGTATCTTCAAAATTCCAGATGGCCTCCTTGATGAGATACACACAATTCTAGCCAGGTTCTGGTGGGGAAATGGTGACCAAGATAAAATGCATTGGAAGTCTTGGACCTCATTATGTTTACCAAAATCTAAGGGGGGATGGGGTTCCGAGACCTCAAAATTTTTAATCAGGCTCTATTGGCTAAACAGGGTTGGAGGTTAATGAAAGCTACGGAATCCCTTCTATCCCAGGTACTCAAGGCAAAGTATTTTAAGAATTCTGATTTTTTGGGTGCTCTGAGGGGCTTTGATCCAAGCTACACTTGGAGAAGTATTTGGGGGGCAAAATCATTACTATTAGAAGGCCTTCAATGGAGAGTGGGAGATGGTAATGATATTAGCGTATGGAGAGACAAGTGGGTACCACAGGCCTTCACCTTTAACAACCCAATTCCTCCTGCAAACGGCCTGCATGATGAAGACATTAGAGTGGCAGACTTGATGAATGAAGACAAAACTGAGTGGAATTTGCGGGAGATGAACCTTCATCTTAGAGAAGAGGATATTGATAGAATCCTGAACATCCGTCTTATAAGTGATTCAGGCAAGGATACTCAGTATTGGGGATTGACAGTAGATGGATGTTATACAGTGAAGTCTGGGTATTGGCTGGGCGTGTTAGGACATAATGCCGAACATATTGATCAGACTGAGGCGGCTTGGAAGCTCATATGGAAGTTGAATTGCCCCCCAAAAATTAAACATTTCCTCTGGAGAGCCTGTACTAAAACACTTTCAGTTAGTGCTGAGCTTCACCGAAGACATATAATAGAATCCAACAATTGTCAACGATGCGGTGGGGAGGAAGAGTCTATTTATCATGCTATTTTTGAGTGTCAGGATGCACAAATAATCTGGGTGGGAAGTGAGTTCAGTGCTACAATCCAAGAAGCAAATTCCACGGATTTTCTTGAGCTGCTACTTTGGATCTCAGAGAAGTTGCCACAGCAGGAGCTTATTACGTTCGTAGCACTTTGCTGGGCTTCATGGACTAGTAGAAATAAGTCTCTTTTCGATGATGAAAGACATGATGCTAAGCAACTGGCAGTGGGCTTCGTGAATTACACTAGAGATTATCAAACTTATGCTGCAAAAGTTCTTAACAGAGCAAATATTCGACAATATGGAAGTATCAGTCAGTGGCTAACCCCCCCTTCTGGTGTAATGAAAGTTAACACAGACGCTGCTATTCTAAGTACAGGGGTGGTGGGGCTCGGTGCTGTAATTAGAGATTGTGATGGACGACTGATTACTTCGGGAACAAGAAGGATTAAGGGGAACTGGGATCCTGGTATTGCAGAAGCAGCAGCAATGGCTTATGGCCTGGAACTAGCGAATAGGTTTGGCTACAACAATGTGTGGCTCGAAAGTGATTCACTTGGATCAGTTCAAAGAGTGCATTCAAAGCTGAAGGGTTATTCTTACTTATTTATGTTTATTAATCGCATTATTTGCTTAGGTGAATCTTTTAATTCCTTTGTTTGTAGCCATGTAAAGAGAGGGGGAAATACGGTAGCCCATTGGGTTGCTCGATCGGAGGTGTCAATCAACTCTGAAATTGTTCGCTTTGCTCCATTCCCGGAAAGCTTCCAAAAGCTTGCGGATATGGATATTGATTAATTAATATATTCCCCCGTTTGCTTCAAAAAAAATTAAGGCCTTGAGAGACTAGAACATAACCTATTGGTTTATTACTATTACTAATAGTTTTGATAGAGTTATGAGAAAGTGAATATTGGAAAACTTAGAGAGAATGAGAGAAAGCTTAGAGAGTATAAGAGAGCTTAATTATATTGATGAAAATACATGCAAGAGTATATGTATAGTACAAGATTAGAGCATTGAACATCACTAAACTATTACTAGGTACATTAGCTAATAGCCTAATAATAAGGGATAAAATTTTACTATAGAGTATAGAGTTAAAGTTAAGGACTAAATAAAGGGATTACAAATTATAAAAAAATAACTAATAATGATAATAATGATTTGATCATTTATTATCCTTTACAAGTTTCATTTAGAATTTTTAAAAAAATGTAATGCGTTTTGATGAGTTTTTAATTAACTTAAAATAGACAACAAAGTCTAATACTGAATGAATAAATCCTAAGTTAATGAAATATTCATTCACAAAGCTCTATCAAAATTATCATATCGGACATTAAGTGTGTCATATATGTCCAATCTTATTATAAAGCCTTTTTTTTGGGCTAACAGGGATATAGATTGATTAATTGTTCAACATAATGGTGTTAGGAGCTACAAATGGGTTTAGTAATACTAGAACTAGACGAAGTCGTAGCAAATACGAGATTATGATTACAGAAATCAATCATAATGATTTAATACATGATTATGATTACAGAGATCAATCATAATAATTTAATACAGTAATAGATGTTTTTCTTCAATACATGATTTAATCAGATTATGAGGATGTACGGGTATTGATATGAAGTGGTGGAATTTACATGGTTTAATTCGTTAATTCGTTGTTGTTTCTATGCAGTTTTTAAGTTTCTTAAGTCCTCAAATTTGACTTCTTCGAATAATAGGCGTTAAATGTCCCATATTTTTTCCTCCTCCTTTTCTCCCTTATTTTTTAATTTTTTTTTCTTGCTTTACTTTAATTTTACAGTAACAAAAAGTTGAACTCAAATGAAAAAGTAAAGAACTTTATTGGCTAGTGTATGTTGCCTTATGTGATTGTTCAACTTAAGGATTAGCTTATTAGCTAGCATTATAATACTATCTTTAATTTGTTTCTGTAAGTTCTTTGCACTATATTTGTTTGATTTGATAGTAAATATCACGTGTGTTCCTTATAGATTTATCAATACGTGCATTATTTTCATCATATCAACGTTATATTAGTTTAAATCATCAATGTCAAACATATTGACCTCAATACATATGTTGGAAACCTTTAAAAAAAAGTGTAAGGATATATATTAGAGAAAAGAAGGCAGTTCTTAACATAATTAGTTGCATTATAAAACAGTACTAGACCTAAGCATAACATCTCAACATATCTGATATGTGAAAAATAAGGTACTATAAGTGATACACAAAGTTACGTAAAGTCAATCCTGATCAACTTATAGCAAGGGTATGTAGCCAAACTAAACTACTGAAGATATCTACGTCATCTGGGATTGAATAATAAAGACAATTCAGATGATTGACAATAACGTGTATCCATACTAGATGTGGAGGAAGTTGCAACATTTTCATGGTATGAACTGTTATTAGTTGTTCCAGCAGCTAACACTTGCTCGAATTGTGAGCTGGTTTCTACTTCATCGGTTTGGGGCGACTCTTCTGTCTCTAGTATTAGTAGAACTTCTTTCATAGTGGGTCTTCTATGACCTTTCGGATTCAAGCATCGTGTTGCAAGATCAACAATAGTGTAAACCTCTTCCTTCGAACTCTCCTTTACCAAATCAGGGTCCACAATGTCAAGGAATTGAGAGTTTTCTGTATGAGAAAGAAACCATGACACCAAACTTCTATCTTGTTCACATATAGCACGTATTGCCTTTTGTCCGGTTAAAAGTTCAACAAGGACCACACCGAAACTGTAAACATCACTCTTCTCTGTATAGTGGTTAGTTTGGAAATATTCAGGATCCAAATAACCGAATGTTCCCATAACACGAGTTGTTACATGGGTTTGATCGGGAGCCACACTTTTTGATAACCCAAAATCCGATAGTTTTGCCCTATACTTATCATCCAAAAGAATGTTGGAAGATTTGATGTCCCTATGTAGTATGGGATAATAAGAAAAGGAATGCAGATAAGCAAGTGCTCCAGCTAAATCAGAAGCAATTTGCAAGCGCATCCTCCATGTGATTGGAAACTCTTCATTTAGATGATGTAGATGATTGAAAAGTGTTCCATTTGGGACAAACTCATAAACCAATAATGGGACTTCTGATTCCAAACAACATCCTAGTAACCTGACTATATTCCTATGAATTATTTGAGACATGATAACCACTTCGTTGATGAAATGTGCTCGTTGGCTTTCATTCAATGTCTTAGACTTTTTTACAGCAACAAGTCTCCCTTCACCTAGCATTCCTTTGTAAACGGTACCTTGTCCTCCTCGTCCAAGTATCCTGCTCTCATTAAAGTGGTCCGTGGCTTTCTCCAACTCATCAACGGTGAAGAAATATGTTCTTTCTACAATGCGTTCATCAGACAACATACGATGTTGCAACAACAAACCACCATTTTTCTTAAAGTTTCTAGCCTTTTGCTTTATAGTCTCTCTTTTTTTTATCACTATGTATAACCACCATCCAATTGGAGGCAATAGTAGAGATCCCAAAGTAGCAGCAAGACCTATAACTATATTCTTTTTAGAATAATCTGGAACAGAATCTCTTATACAACTGGTTCCATCCTTCCGACCATTTCCATGATATCCTTTAGGACAAGTACAATAGTAACTACCCGGAGTGTTTATACAAATATCAGAACAAGGGGAGCTTGAAAGATTTGCACACTCATCAATATCTGCATAGATGGATTTATACAAATACCTTTAATTCTCTTTTCATTCTAGAATAATTGACTTATACATTTCCCTTTTTTTTTTTTTTTTTCTCTCCAGTAACATATACTTCATTTGTTCCACAAAATTCCAACAAGCATGAAATTATGCAATTCAAAGCACATGTTATATGTTAAATATCTATAATTATATAAGAGTAAAAATTATAAAAAGTTGTTATTGTGAAAGTATTTTACGAGACGAATCTAACTAGACCCCACATGACTATATTTTACTTTACGTATAAATCATAATATGTGGTCAAACAATCGTGATGAATAGTGTAAAACACCAGTTGTTGCAATATTACTAGAACGGAAGAAGTAAATAGTATCGTTGAAATGTTGACGTTGTTAAATACAGTAGGTAATACTTTGTGAATTTTATTACTTTAAGAATAATTTTAATAACTACCAAAACTAGAAATAATGTGTACATAACTTCATATCTTTTCTTCTAGATTTGACTATATTATAAAAATTGTAGATTTAAAAAACGATGTAGTTCAATTACCTATTAGAACATCACTTTTTTTTTGGTGTGACCATTTACACCGTGTGACAAGGTAACACAGACCAAAATAATAATCAGGTAACCCAACTAACCCATGACCAACTAAGTAGCCCATAACTGAGTAACCCTTGACCGACCGAGTAACCCCGATCACACCGTGTGACCATTATTCACATATGAAAATTTGTAATTAGAATACTCTTCTTATTAATTAAAAAATAAGTGTCCAAGATAGAATGATATCTTCTTCATTTTATTAAAACATACAAGTAAAGCGTAGAAATCCATAGTACTCATAGTTGAGAATCCATTCATTTTACTTTTCATTTATACTACTTTTGCAGTCAATTAATTATTGGTAAAATTTTGAAATTAAACCTTTTCATTAAAGGATAATTAATATGATAATACAATAATGATAAAGAAGATAATAAAGTAAAAAAAAAAAAATGAGATGCAAAGTGCGGGATGGTGGCGCGCACTTATTGACAATATTGCCTTATTTTATGGAAAAATTGCACATGATTCAATATATACTTTGTATGAATCTAACCTGTTCCATATGGATATGTTATCTTATGTAGTACTTCTTTTGTTTTAATACACTTGTGATTTTTCACTATTTATATGTTATTAGATTTGTCAAAATGTATCTTATAAAATATTTTATTTTATTTTATTTTTATAATTTTTAATTTAATCTAATTGAAAATATTGATGATCTAAAGTTATGCCTCGACAAATGTGTAAATTAAATCCAAATATAGCATTTTAAAAAAATAAAGGGAGTAATAAATTATAAAAAATTCAAATATCAGAATGAATGATGTGAACAATGTCCAAAATTAATACTCCCTCCGCCTGCAATTATCTGCAACATTTACCTAAAATGGGTGCTCTATATTATTTGCAATAAATTTTTTTCTTTCCTTTTTGGGTAATATTTAACTATCAATTACCCACTATAATCCACTTTTTTGGTTAGTGGTCCCCTCCACCACCTATTACCCACTAACTAAAACCCACTCAAAACAAAATTAAGTGAGACCGTTTCTTTTCCCTCTATTTTCAACCTTAATTAAACCCACCAAAACTCAATTAAAACTCCCCTAAAAGTTTTGCTTAGGAGTTTGAAATATTGTTTTTTGTTGCAGATAACCTCGGGCGGAGGGAGTATTATAGAATTTGAAAAAAAAAAAAAAAAAAAAAACAGAGGAAGTAGTAAGTAGTAACTGACCTGTACATCCGGGGCTAAGATAAGGATTACCCTTGTAACCAGGTAGACAAGTGCATCTGTACCCCCCAGAGCCACTATCAACATCGTGGCAGCGGCTTTGATGGTGGCAAGCATAGTAGGACAAGTCTCTCTTAGCTATCTCACAACTAATATCATGAGAAAAATCATAATAATCCCAAACAAACCATTCGAGCACCACCGGAACACTGTCTCTGGTTCTATTGACGAAGTTAGGATCACCAAGGTCAGCGACACTAAAGTTGAATTTACTCGGATTTCCTATGAAAGCATAACCAGATGGATTTACGTGAGACACATTACTGTGATTCGCATTACTCTCTAATACTAAGGTGAAGTTATACAACCTCTGTGGGATGGTTGTTTGGCAGCAACCAAACCCTGAACACGACCCGTTTATCACCACTGATAAATTGCTACACACTACACTGCACCCCATTCCGAGAGGAGACGACCCTCTATAGGTACTTTCGGAAACAAGAAAACCAAAATCATCACAACCAACGACGATGAGCTTGTTTTCGGTGTCGGAATATACAAGTGGATACATGGTGAGATCTGTCTGCTCTACATACGGAGGAGTTGATTCTACTGCTACTCCATCTCGGTATAGTTTAGTTGTCACAAAGCTCTTAATAAGCATTTGGCCGGTAATGCTTATGTTCAGGACCTCAATGTTACTGCCGACCAAGAAGGGTTTTGGAGGGTCATTGCTGGAACTACGATTGCAGTCTATTATGAAAGACTCCCTAAGAGAACATGCGCTGCCGATACCAAATGGATAGTAAATCGTTACGTTGCCACAGCTAGGTTGGCAACCGGGCTTGGCGATTTTAGTGGCGAAAGTGGTTTTAGTAACACTAGACCATAGCAGTGGTAGGAGGAGATACAAGCCTCGTACCTCAAACATTTTTATCATTTTATCTTTTGGGTTTCAATTTGTGGGTTATGATATGTTAATATTATAAGGTAGACGCATGAAGTAATAATACTCATTTATTTATCAAGATGCTATAATAATTGAGATTCAACCAAAGGATAATGTGAACATTTAGCAGAGGATCGAGATAGTGTCCATTATTATATTGATGAATCTCTCACTTTTCAATTTAATTATCTTATATATCCAACGCATAGCTTATCACTAATTCACTATAATGTGAATATTTTATTGGTCACATCTTTTTGACTTTGGCGTTAACGTTACCTACTTTTTCCTCGTGATAAAGGAAATTGACCGCACATGGCTCCTGAAATAACTAATACAGTTAAATAAATCGTTGGGTTATGTAATGTAATTTTAACCTGGCTTGTCTAATTTTCATTGGTTTTAGTAAAGTTTTGTTATTAATTAATTTAATCAAGCATGTTATCTTTTAAAACAATAAATTAAGGGGCCAAAATAAAATACTGAACAAGTTCATATGAATCATGTCAATGTTATCAGTCATACCAATTTTGTTTATTATATGTGAATATGTGATTATATTAAATTCGTCAAATTATTTAGAAAAAATTGATCGGAATAATCCCAACTTAATAATCTCAACTTTCAGTTATTTTTTAATAATTCGAACTTTAACTTGAATTTGCTTCAAATGGTCCCAATAGGTCACCAACCTACGGTAACCGGTTTCTTATGCTACGTGGTGCTTTCTAATTGGTTTAAATTTATTAATTTTTTTTAAAAAATATTATTATGATTATTAGGAACTAATTAAGCCTACTTCTTGTTAAAAAAAAAAGCCTACTTAATAATAATTAACATTAAAAAATAGTAACCACTTTTTTTTTTTTTTTTTGAAGAACACTTAAAAAAATAATTAACACTGAAAACAAAAATTAACAACATAAACACCACCACTCTCCCTTAACTGCAACCCAAACCCCTCCTCCCTGCTGGCGCCACCCCTAGCTGGCGCCCAGACCGCCCCGCCCTTATGCGTCAGCGCCCGCCCTCCCTCTTTCCCTTGAAACGCCAATCTCAAACTGCGTTTTTTTTTTCATTTTTTGTCACTTTTGCTGCTTCTGCTCTTCTTGTAATTCTTGGATCTCAGAGATAATTCAGATCTACCCATTTTATTGATTTTATTTTTATTTTGATTTTTTACTTGGGTATTTTGTAATGGATTCATAGCTTTCGATTTGACCCGAAAAAAATACTCCCTCCGTCTCCGAAATAACGACCCTTTTGGGTTGATTTCACGGGTATTAAGAAACATAGTTGGAAGTATAAGAGTGTATGGGAAAACTAATAAAAATACATTGAAAAGGGAAATTTACATGGGAATTGTAAAAAAGTAGAGAGAGAAAGTAATAAAAGCATATAGAAAAAGCAAAATTTGCATGGGAAAACTAATTTTGCACAAATATTATTGCAAATTGGAGGGTATTTAAATGCAAATGGGATGAACATTTTGGGACTAAAATTAGGCCAAAAGGGTCGAACTTTTGGGGACGGAGGGAGTACAAAAATGGCGAGTTTAGACCGGAATAAGAAGCTCAAACCCGGTCCATGGCTGTAACACCCTAGAAATTCCTTTCCGTTAAAATACCCTTTTTGCCCTTTTTAAAATACAAAATAGGAAAATCTAAGACATTACCGCCACCGTGAAAACGGCTAAGGCAAATATCAAGACTCACACAGCGGAAGACTCTCTTTAAAACCATTTAAAAACAAATCAACTTAAAAAGTCAAACCAAACGAAAGTAAAAGTCAAACTAAGTCAAACAAAGTCAACCTACAACTTGGAACCATTGCAGGCCCTTAAACCAAATAATATTAAATTTTTTTGCTTTGGTCTCATGAGCAGAATAAAATAAATAATATTCAAAGTAATTTAAACACATCACATTCCTATGGGAACTAAGCATGATTCGCTCTTCACTCATACCCTTCATGAAAATGCTTCATCACCTAAAAAGCTTCTCTCTACTTGTCTCCACTACTCGCCATTAGAAATGGGTCGTCGTAGGGCCAAGGTAAAGACAAGGCCAAACAAACATACAACACACAATTAGCAATGCTGGGGTACATAAGCGTAATAAAAACACACTAACATGCTTTCATCCTATCATCACACAACTTACCGTAATGCACCTGTTTATAAGCATACAAAACATTCAACACCTAACTAGACCAATACCAATTTTCATTTAATTTTGATTACACATCAAACGGGTTTCCAACTAAATCCCTGCCTCAAATAAATTGAGGTAAACTACACCGGGAGCTAACCGGGTAGGCAAATGTCACATGAAGTGGCTGGACGTCCTGCGCATAAGATAAATAAAAATGAAAAACCCCATAACTCCCCCATATGTTCATACTCAAGGTATATACGTTCTAAGAGTTTTAGTGTGTAATCTCTTTCATCTTACGTTGTTTACATATTATTATACTTGGTGACGACTCTCAAACTATAGTACAATCAAACACAATAAATCATTCAAGCAATCAAATATACCAATTTAATTCTTGGTGACGACTCTCTTCTCCTTCTTCTTTTTTTGTTTCTCTTTCCTTTCTCCATCACCTTTCTCCTTCTTCTCTTTCCTTTCTCTTTCCTTTCTCCTTCTTCTCTTTCCTCTTCATTTTCAATCTCAAATTAATCTTGGATTTTTTTTCCTCAATTTTCGCAACAAGTTGCTATGGGTGTTTGGATTTTCGTCAAAATTCGAATAATTATTGTACATCACCGGCGAATATATCTCCACCGACATCAACACAACCACCAACAAGTGTTCTCCACCGACATGCGGGCAGAGATTCACCGGATTTGTTGAGAAATCGAGACCCACAACCTAGCAACCGGCATTTGAAGAACAATTTTTTGACTTTTTTTGTTTTTTTTTGTTTTTTTTTTTGTTTTTTTTTTATTTTTTTTATTTTGATTTTAGATTTGTATAATTCATTTTTTTTTCGTGTTTTTGTTTTTTTTTCTTTGGATTTTGATTTTGTATTATTCAATTTGCGTATTAGATCTGTTTTTTTTAATTTGTATATTCAATTTTTCTGTTTGCGTATTAGATCTGTTTTTTTAATTTGTATATTCAATTTTTTTGTTTGCGTATTAGATCTGTTTTTTTGTTTTTTTTTTGGATTTTGATTTTGCATATTCAATTTTGTATTATTCAATTTGCGTATTAGATCTGTTTTTTCGTTTTTTTTGTTTATTTTTTTGAATTTTCGTTTTATTTTTTTTTTATTTTTTTTTTATATTCTGGGTGGGGGTGGTGGTTGTCCGAATGTGGTTTAGGTGGGTGGGTAGATCTGGGTATTCAGTGTATGTGGTGGTCTGATTTTAGGAGGGTTGTGGTTAGGTGGGCCTGGGTCGGTGTTTGTGGTGGGTATGGGTTAGGGTGCGGTATGGGTGGTGGTCTGGGTGTGCGGAGGGTCTGTGTGTGTGGGGGGGGGGGGTGGGTGGTGGTCCGGGTCTGTGTGTGGGGTGGGTGGTGTGGGGTGGGGTGGTGGTCTGGTTTTTTTTATTTTTTATTTTTTTTTGCTGCAGTTTCCGACGGATTTATACTGTGTCGGACTTCCGACGGATTTTTACTGGTGCCGGAATTCCACTTTCGACGAAACAATTTTGACGGAATTCCGTCGGAAAACTCTTTTCCGACGGAAATTTCGTCGGAAAAACGCGAAATTCCTACAAAATATAATACGACGGTGCGTTCCGACGGAATTCCGTCAAAAACCGGCAGTTCCGACGGATTTTCAGGATATTCTGAGGGATTATTTCCGTCGTTGATTAGCTATTTTCTAGTAGTGGATATTCCTTGGAGCGTATTGTTACTGCTTTGGGGCCTGGGTTTGGCGATTGGCAGTGGCGGCTTGCCACCTTACCATTTGCGTTTGGAGGGCTCGGGGTATATTCCGCAGGTGATGTTCGTCATTATGCTTTTCTTGCTTCTCGGTTACGGTCTGCTAGGTTGCAGACAAAGCTTTTACAACATGCTGGCATTGTTGGTCTTGGACGAGCCTTTGAAGATGCGTTGAGTCTGTTTAATGGAATAGTGAAGTCTGACATTATGAGTAATCCTAGTGAGGTCGCTGCCCCTAAACTCATGAAAAAATTGGCAAATATATATTTCACAAAGGTTACCGCTTCTGTAGAATCCGCCTTTTCTTTGTCTCCTCGGCAATTAGCATTGTGGAAATTGCAGCACGAAGATCACACCTCTGCTTGGCTTCGGGCAGTCCCTATTTCTGGGTTGGGTCATCAGACGATGAACGCAAAGACCTACCGATGTGTGTTGTGCTACCGGTTGGGTGTTCCATTGTTTTCTATCTCGACGCCGTGCTCTGCATGTTCTCGGGTTTTTACTGCGGATATTTTCAGTGATCGCACGGTGTCGTGTGCTGGTATTGTGGGTATTAAACATCGGCATAATGTTACCTTATTTAGATAAAGTTACCTTATTTTAGCTTGTAGTGACCTTTAAAACGGTTGAATTGATTATATGTAAGGTTGGAATGATCTTAGGGCTTTTAAACCGTCTGATCTTTTGTGCTAATTATGAATGGTTGAGATTTGTTGTTTTCAGCATAAGCCTTGTTATCAGCATAAGCCTTGTTTTCAGCGGAATATATATATATATATATATATATATATATATACATATATATATATATATATATATATATATATATATATATATATATATATATATATATATATATATATATATACCCTCTTTGAGACCGCAAAACCCAATTAAATATTACATTTTATTTTTCCTCACTACCCCCACCTCCCCCACTTTTTGTTTTCTTACAATATAAAAATACGAAAGAAAATCCTTTATATAATAAACAAATTCTTTAAATGGACCAACTTGCAGTGTTCCTAAACTACATGTCCATCCCAACGTCCTAAGTATTATGGGACGGAGAGAGTACTTTAATAGAGAGTATATATACATGCATGAGTGGATATTAAATATGTTATCATCTATTTTTACCATTGGATGTACTTTTTACTTTGAAAGTGAGAGGGATAAAGAGAAACCTCAGATGAATCACCGAATAAAAAACAAAATTAAGCTGATGACTTGGATGAAGTACATGATTGATTTTGTACACTAATTTTTAAGATAAAATATTATCAAACTTTAGTCAAATTTGTACACTAATCTATAGATTATAAATTTATCAAATAAGATGTATGCCAATAGATTCATATATAATTTATGCACTTTTCAAAATCTAATCTGTTTAGATTAAATCAAAAATAATTAGCACTTTTCAAAATCTAATCTGTTTAGATTAAATCAAAAATAATAAGTTGATATCAACTTAAATAAGTTAAAGCAAATATAGCCTTACATACAATAGCCTATTAAGAAATTGGCTCAAGGTGGATTAGAGCATGAGGTTAGGCTCTCAGCCTAAATCACAAATGAAAAAAATAAGGAAGAGTTGCTTTCCTTATGAGCATCCACTATCTCCATAAGCATTTCTTTTTAAAAAGGTGTCTAAAAAATGTACTGTATAATTTTATAGTATTAACATGTATTAAATTTTTTTCAAATGTAAATCTTGCGTAGTAGTGGTTAGCAATCGTGTAAATTTGAGGACTTGTCTTTGTACACTTCAATACTTCATGAGGTTGTATAATGTATTTGGAGTAATACAAATTTTTAGTTACCATAAGAAAAAAAATACAAATTCAAAGATCAACAATTTATAGGAAACACATACAACAACCAAAACATCTGTATATATCCGGATTATGATGGTTTTTGCCTTGTAAATTCTTACATAATCATGCATGACTGAGCATTAGCGAGGGTGGTTCATTTCGTTAATCATATCGATTTGCATTGTGTACTGTCCAGTCGTGAATTCTCCAGTGCTTGGATTGCCATTATAATTAGCATTCGAGGGCGTCGGGTAAAGATCATTTTGGCTTGTTAAATTGCTTGTCTCATCCTGATTGTTCTGATCGGTCCAAGGATGCCTATTTTGACTCCTTAATCCTTCGAGCTCAAGGGCCACTTCCTTCATAGTTGGCCTATCTTCACCTATGACGTAAAGACATTTCATAGCTAGATTCGCCATTGTAACTAGTTGCTCTTCGTTAGCTTCCCTAACCAACTGAGGATCAAGGATTTCCATTAATCGACCTTCTTTAACTGAGAGAATAAAATATATTGCCAAATTTCTCTCTTCCATTTTTCTTTCTAAGGAAAGAGGCTTTTCTCTTGTTAAGAGTTCAGCAAGTAGAACTCCGAAACTATACACATCACTTTTCTCGGTCAATTGACTTGTTTGGAAGTACTCCGGATCTAAATATCCTAACGTCCCTTGAACTAATGTTGTCACCTGAGTTTGATCAATCGGAACCAACCTTGAAGCACCGAAATCAGATATCTTAGCAGTATAATTTTCGTCTAATAAAATGTTGCTGGATTTAACATCTCGATGAATAATTGGTATTGAAGCCGCTGAATGAAGATATGAAAGTGCATCAGCAGCCTCCGCAACAAGTTTAGTGCAATTAGCCCAAGTAAGCCAAGACGTGACACCCTTATTTCTATGGAGATGTTCAAAGAGAGTACCATTCGAGATAAATTCATACACGAGCAATGGAACCTCGGTTTCAAGACAGCACCCTAAGAGTTTAACCACATTTCGATGGTTGATTTGAGTTAGAATAACAACTTCGTTTATGAATTGCTCAACTTGTGTTCGATCAGTCACTCGGGATTTCTTTATTGCAACTTCACGACCGTCCTTAAGAATTCCCTTGTACACTGTACCATAACCACCTTTACCTAAAATACGATCTTCGTGATAGTTATTTGTTGCTTCTTGTAGTTCTTCAATAGAAAATATTTTAGATGAGTCCATAGTTCCTCCATTTGGACGAAGTTGTTGGCTTAACAATACTCCTCCATTCTGCTCAAAGAATTTATCTCTTTTTTTCATCAGTTTTCTTTTTCTGAAGAATATATTTATTGAACCAATTACTAAAAACAACAAGAACGCGAGTCCAAAGCCTATCCCTGCGCAAACAATTTTTGGTATAATCTTGTTAGCTTTCGTCATAGAATAAAATTTTCTTCAATCAATTAATAAGGATATAAATCTATATCCTATACTAGTATTAATATATATGCATGAGTTGATGAATATATTAATACTAGTATTGAATATTTTCTGATATAAACTTATCTAATTTGGTTGTCTTATTTGACCAAAATTTTAATCTTATGTGTACACTAATTTATAACGAAAAAATATATTAAGTTAGTCTTGTGATATTCGTAAAAATGTGTATTTTATTACACCACTACATTTTTAATAGAATGCAACGGCTAAAAAAGAGCTAGTGCAACGACTCATTTTATCGTCGTTGCATTAGATAATCCTAATACAACGGCATAAACTTTGTACAACAAAAGGTGGAGCTAATGCAATGGCTTTAAGAAGTCGTTGCGTTAGGTGTACTAATACAACGAACTGAAAGGCTATTGCCACGGCAGTGATATTAAATATTCCGTATGAAAATGCGCTTAAAGTTCAATCTCCTCAGACCTCACCACCTCAGTTCTCTCTACTCTCTCTTTCTCTCCTTCTCCCTCTTCTCTTCCTCAAAGACAAAGGCAACCATCGTCGCAGCCGCAACCACAACCACAACCACTATCGCTCACAAATTAAATTCTCTCTCTTTCTTCTCCCTCCTCATTCACTGATGGTCACGGTGGTGATGGTGGTCGCGAGTGATAACGACGGTGCGGTTCGATTTTTAGGGTTTTGATTGGTGTTCATGGTTAAATTTCTTTAAACTTTCCTCTTTAAATTACAAATTTAGGGTTCCTTTGCATAATTACTAGTTCAAATTTTTGATTTTCTTCTAATTCTAGGGTTTCGATTTGTAACTGTTGGCGGGGGTGGCGGAGAGCAGCGATGGTGAGTTTCGGTTTGTAATTGATGGCGGTGGTAGAGAGTTGCTGAACTAACGTCGCTCAAACACTAGCTTCGTGCCCTGATCTTTGAGTAAGCCTTCTCTCTTTATCTCTCCTTTTTCTTCTTTCTCGCTCCTCTCTAATTCATCTCTTCTGCATTCATCAGGAAACAGAAAAATCTACCAAAAAGCAAGTCCATGTTTAGGCTTTGATTTATATGATTTCATTTTGGAGAATTTACGAGTCTTATTAACTATTGTTGCTAGGTTGTGTGATTTTGATTGCTTTATCTTGTGTTCACTGGAAATGTTTTGATGTTTATTTTCTAAATTTTTGAGTTATCAGATGTTTTCTATGTATTGTAACAATGAGAATTTGTCTGATTAGGTTAATTAGGTTTAATTATAATTATTGATTTATATGTATTGTTCATTTGATTGTATAATTAGGGTTTAATTATTTAGGTACTGAGTTGATTACTTAATTAGTGTTATTTTTGGGGATTATTTGCTATAAATTCCATAATTACGTTATCGTTTGATTTTGCTTTTTGAATGATTTTAGAATTGCTTGTTGATAGAATTCTTACTTAATTGATTGCAATTTTAGTACTTTGTGGAGAGGTTTTATGTCGAATTTCTTGTTCTCGCGATTGAACTTTAATGCCCTGGAATCTGAAATAATGTGCAGTCGTGAATTGTTATATGTGTGTAATCTGAACTCTTCTTGGTGATGATAAAACTTTAGTAAAAGTATCCATATGTTTAAGCTTGTAGTCGCTTTGAGAGCTGCACATTTTTAGGTCGGAATCCGGTTATTACTATCACGACATGAATTAAGGCCTATGTCAGTCCCATAAAGTCATAGATTGCCTTGCCTTTTCCATTTATAGACTTACAGGAATCCAAGATCAATGTTGCTCATTCTAGTGCATTGAGCTTTCGATTTGATCAAGAATATTTACGAGAGAAAAGGGAAAACATTGCTACTAATGTGGGTAATACATACTGCAATTTATAAGAATTCCTTAAAAATGAGAAGATTGATTTTTGGGTTTAGTTCAAGTGCTTTATTGCTTGCTTATTCTCTCGTTGATTTGGTGAATACTGTCAGTTGAAACAGCTTTGCTTGATTGCACAAAAAAGTATTTGTTCTGATTTCATGAGTAATCTAGTCTAAAAAACTTTACCGGTCTTTTGTTATCTTTCTTCTAACTGACACTTTTCAGATGCGTGCTTTAGCAGAAGGAGATACTTTACAATTTGTTTTTCTCTTTTCTTTTCTTTTCTTGCAAGCGGTTTTCTATGATAAAAGACCAATGTGTTTTGTGGTAGGTTGAAGAATGAGCATTATGGACGTTCTATGATTAAATTTGATTAATCTATTAAATAAGATTGTGCAATTTAATACCTGACTGTTCTAGTAAGCTACATTTAGATTTTGTGATGCAAAGATATCTAGAATTCTAGATATCCTTTTCAAATCTGTCCAAACTATACATTGAGCATTACTAGAACAACCTGTCAATTGGTGTTTCTTTGAGTTATGACTCCTATAGTAATTTCCCCCCTCAATTGGTGTTTCTTTGAGTTATGACTCCTATAGTAATTTTTTATATTTGTAAAATTAAGCTACATTTGTATGTATCAGTAATTTTAAGCTTATAAACTAGTAAACCACAAATGTGTGACATGTTTTTGTACAACTAAGGTAATTAAAACCAATTAATTCTATCTTGTTTCTTTTTAGCTAAATTGTGAAATCAGGCCAGTCTTAGTGAACTCCTGTTCTGAATTTTTCTTATTTTAATTGTGCAAATAATACAGTTGTTCGATTGTTTTTATTTAAATATGAATAATATCTCACTCTTGTCTAAGTCATTTGAGAGAGGGAGTGAGAGATTAACAGAGAATAAAAAACCTACAAGTATATGATTATGTTTAGCCTCCTTAAAGACGGATTATTGTTATTCTAATGATGCTTATTATAAGAGAAGCTTTCAAAGTTTTGAAGTTGGTATCTCACTGTGACTTGAGTAATTGTCATGCTATGATAAGCCCTGTTCGTTTAATGTGATGATTGTTTAAAAGCTAGTCTTATCTAATAGCATATTAGCTTGCTTTGTAAGATAGTGTTTTCTATGTTGTTGATTATCCTATGTGCTTGGAACAAAAATATGGTTATTGAATAGCATGTAGGTACACAAATAAACTTTCGGAACTTCGAATTTATTTTTTACTTCTTTTTTTTCTGCTTGAATTATATATGAGAAAAGAGGAATGATGGATGTTTATCTTCTTTTTTGATTCCGAATTCTTGAAATTGGATTGTGTTTTTATAAGGTTTTTGGGTTTTATATGATATATGCAGGTTGTAGGGAATTTACTACACTGATTTTTGACTTTGTTTTTTTTACTGGTATAGCTTGCAATTATTATTCATGAGCTAATTAGTTTTCGACGATAAGAACGAACTGACCTATATTTAGGATGATGTAGGTGTAAACAATTGCTTGAGCACATCAACGACTGCTATGACAGGAGTTGGACTCGATTAAGGAAACTTTGAACATTGAGTTGCAAAGAGCTCCAGCAGCATTCAGCATCATCAAGTACTAGTAAAATAGGTGGATACTGAAGTTGAAGAAGGTGCTTCCCGAATTGCTTTACTTGAGAAATTGGAGAAGTGGGAGAAAGAAATGATAATGCGGTCCAAACAACTGCTGAAAATATGGTTTGGGGGATAAAATGATTTAGTTTTAACATTTTAATTGTTTATTTCTTAGTTTAACTAGTGATAATTTAATTATGCAATTTTTCTTATAGATAACAATGTACAAACTTTTAATTTATATTAATAAATTCTGATTTTTTTTAAAAAAATTTTTCGATTATAATTGTATTATTATAATTGAATTATTATTATTATTATTATTATTATTATTATTATTATTATTATTATTATTATTATTATTATTATTATTAAATAACAAAAACCTACAAAGTCAAAAGATTTACAAGAAATTAGTGGGGAGCCGAGATACAATCTGGGCCCCCACCCCTCTAGCTATAGCGAACCCAATCCTGTTAAAGATGTGAGCAGCCGCACGAGCTCCAATATCCTGAGTCCTAGCGAACGCCTGAACCCGCTTCAGCAACGCAACGACATCCTTCTCTAATTCCCCCAATGAAGAAAAGGAGAAAGGAAGAAAACCATAGCCAATAGCCCTGCAACGCGCCCCATACTTGTCTCGCTTCCGCTGAGCCGCAGCCGACATAACACGACCAGGAACGAAGTCAGACAACCCAGATTGAGTCAATGGAGAAGACCCCGTCAAGTCAACACATACATCTAGGCCTCTATCCCAGGAGTTAAGCAACACATCTGCTGGCCGAAGAGCCCCGTCGTTCCCTCCAGTTAACCCAACGTTGACCTCCTTCCTTGCAGAAATCCCAGAGCGGAAACAAATATCAACAAGGGTATCACGAACAACGTTATGCCGATGTTTAATACCCACCATCCCAGCACAAGACACTGCATGATCCCCATAAATATCCCCATCAAAAACTCTTGAGCAAGCAGAACAAGGTGCCGATACGGAGAACAAGGGAACACCCAACCGATAGCAAAGAACACAACGGTAAGTCTTACCATTCATAGTCTGACCCAGACCTGATATCGGGACCGCTCGCAACCAGGCAGAAGAGTAATCCCCCTGCTGGGACTTCCATAAGGCAACCTGACGCGGAGACAAGGAGAAAGTGGATTCTGCAGATGCAGTGACCTTCGTGAAATATATATCTGCCAATTTCTTCATGAGTTTGGGGGCAGCGATCTCACCAGGGTAACGCAAAAGGTCAGTCTCCACAGTCCTATTAAAAAGACTAAGAGCGTCGTCGAAGGCCGGACCTGGACCAACAATACCAGAATTGCGAAGAAGCGAAGCCTGTAGACCAGAAGACTGCAAACGCGACGCAAGGAAAGCATAGTGTCGAACATCACCCGCTGAATAGACACCTAGTCCTCCATAAGAAAAAGGTAAGGTGGCAAGGCGCCATTGCCAATCACCAAAACCTGGCCCCGAAGCAGTTACAATGCGCTCCACAGAACCTCGAAGGGCCACATCAAAAGAAATCTGGGCCGCTTCAAAAAGACGAGGAGGACAAGTGCGCATAGAAAAGTAGAGTTTTGAAACTCCAGTACACGCACGAAGAAGTAATAACTCACATTGGGGATCCTCAAGCTTAGCAACAGCATCCATGAGCACAATGGTCTTCGACACCCTCTGCGAAACAAGCTCACCACAGAAAGAGGCATCCGCACTGACAGGACCCCCAAGCAACTTAACACCATGAGCAGGACGAGCAATATCTGGAGGAAAGACACCGGCCAGACGGCTACGAGGGTCCTCCGTGGGCCAGAAAACTTCCGTTTTCTCAACGTTAACATGAAGACCAAGACGAGGTCCCTCCACCAAAATCAACTCCATAACCTTCCCTACCACCAAGGTGTCACCAATAATAGTGCCATCATCCAAATACCAAGCCTGCAAACATAAGTCAAAAGAATCCCTAATTTGACAAACCAACGGATGGAGCACCAAAGCAAAAAGCAAAGGGCCAAGTGGATCACCCTGCTGCACACCCTGACATGACCTTAAGGTATGCTCCCCATAATAGAGCCTGGCTGGAGTAGAGTAACAGAATTCAACCCAACGCGAAAGAGCTGGACAACGGAGACGAACCTCACGCAGTAAAGCCGTACGATCAACCAAATTAAAGGCATTCCGGAAATCCACCAGCAACATAGAGAGGCCAACATCACCACCTCGAGCCTCAACCAAACGATTAACAGCATGAAGAATAGCCTCGCCACCCGCCGGCACCCCAACACCAAACTGAAGACCTCCTAAATAGTTCCCCATACGCGGACCAACTAAAGCAGCCCCAACCTTTGAAACCAGACGCCGCCAAACAGTACCCACAGCAATAGGACGAATACCACCACCAGGCTTAACAAGTGGCGTAAGAGGAGCACTAGCAATATACTCCCCCAACTCAGCAGGACAATTTCCTGCGAGAAAGAGATTAACCACCTGCGTAATAGAGCCCACCAACTCATCTGAAATAGCAACCGCAGCACCACTCAAGCAATCCAGAAGGTGCTGAGCACGCAAGCCGTCTCTACCGCATGACGTACCACGCGGAAAACCCCTAATTTGATCCAAAACAACAGCAGATGTAGCAATAAGGGGCTGATCAACGGGGATATCCGGTAAGATAGGAGCCGGAAAGGAAGGGTGCTTAGCTTATAAATCAGCAAGAGTAGCATCATTGTAAGGGGCAAGACCAGAAGACGAAAGAACCCGAACCGCAGCAGTGTAATGTCCGTCACAAATCTTTCTCTTACATTGCTTAATATTTCGCTCAGACAAATCATGCTCATCATCAGCTTCCAACAAAGGAGGAGACACATCTGCCAACGTATCTCGCACAAGATGCACAGAACCACCAGGCTCACACCAAGAACGAATAGCAGCGGTGATACTCTCTTCCTGCCGCCGCCGCCGGACACCCGAAGAACACTCACGACTACTCCTCGGGGTAAAAGTTTTAAGAACACAAAGAGGCAACACAAGTAGTTGAACCCAACAAGAGACGTCATCAGGCTTGCAAATCACCTTATCAAGCGCTCCTTTGAGAACCCGAGAAAAACCCAAGCGACACTTTGGAGGAATAGATTTCACCGAACGGAACCGCTTAGATAGCAAACTATCCAGGAGAGCAACATCGAACGCCAAAAGAGGCTGACGAAGCGCACTAGAAACAAGATCAGATACCTCCGAAGAAAGACCCTGAGGTTTAGGAAAACCATAAAGAACAAACCGAACAACACCATCCCCCAAATCAGGTGGGTCCACAATATCACCCGAACCACGACCATGTCGACACTTCGTACGAAAAGTATGAGTCTTGAAACACTCCCCACAAAGCCAAATGCCTATACGCCGAAAAGTTGACTCCGCCTCTAAGAAAATAGCCAGATTAGAAGCAAGAGAGCATCGGGTCATATCCCGCGCATCCGCACAACAATGACGGTCACGGAGATGAGTGATCAAAGAAGTTTTAGTGAGCCCATTACCCCTGCCATCTTGACACCCATTAAGACCCACGAACGGGCAATGAAAGAGAACACTAGGAGGCATAACATCCACCACAACTTGCCACAAGAGAACCGCAATACAACACAACGCAAACTGCACCAAAAACTAACCAAAAACTGCACCCAAGAAGCACTAGAAACCGCCTAGCAACTGCAGCCAAGAAGAACACACAAGAACGCAACTGAAACAGCCCGGAAACTACTCCAAAACCACCTGAAAACAGCCTACAGAAACTGCCCGGAAACCGCTAGAGGTACTGCAGCAAAACAACCCTATGAAACCGCCTAAAAACTGCACCTGATCAACCCAAAATCAGACCATAAAAAAGTCCTGAAAACAGATGCCGCGAACCACTTAAATACTGCCTGAAAAACGGCTGTAATCGCCGGAAAAGAGAAGCCCTCGCCGGACCTACAAACGCTTGGTTAATGATCGCAGAACCAGCCTGAAAATGAACGTGGAACGAGCTTGAATTTCGCCCATAAACTGCCCTCGAATTGCCCTGAAATTGCCCAAACAATGAAGCCCGAAACAGCCTGAATTTCGCCCCAAAAGAACCGAGGAAACCGCCGGAAAGAAGCCTGACCTGAAGGCGCCGACACCGAGCACCGCCGCCTGATATTAAAGGACTAAAAGCCGCCGGAAAAGCTGCCGGAAACCCCCCCTACGCCCAGCCCTAATCGCCCTAACGAGAGTTTTTTTTTTTTTTTTTTTTTTTTTTTTTTTTTTTTATTATTATTATTATTATTATTATTATTATTATTATTATTATTATTATTATTATTATTATTATTATTATTATTACTAGGGTATAGGGAACCGTGGCATTAGGCATTATAGCTAATGCCACGACAATAATGTTGCCGTTGCATCAGGTGTTGATCTAATGCAGCGGATCATTGATGCCGTGGCATTAGGTGTCATATGCCGTTGCATTAGACCTACTGCAACGCCATCAGATGCCACTGTACATGGCCGTTGCATTAGGCCTAATGCCACGGATTTTGACACTTAATGCAACGGATTTGAGGGTTGCAATAGGTCAAAAATGTAGTAGTGTTAATATGTAATTTTTATAATTTTTAATTACGAAATTAAAAATAATTAGTGATAAAAACCACACATCAATACTATATACTAAAGTTATCACCAGCATTATTCCAAAGTACAAGTGTTGAGTTCACAATAAAAATAAACCCACCAAAAACCACATTTTAAAAAAAAGATAGCTAATGATAAAAAAAAAAAAAAGAATATGCAACCCAAACAACCTAAAAAATAGAACAATAATAGCAACTACAATGAATAAAATATTTTTTTAATCGTTAATCTATAAAATGTATATTCCCTTGACTCTTTAATCGTTAATATATAAAATGTATTCTTCGTTTTTTACTAAAAAAAGGATTCTAACTCAATTTTAAATTCATTATAACATGTCAACAAACTAAAATTAAAGATAAGTACTCTACATTACCGTATCTAATCTACAAAAATTTGATAGCAATCATAGCATAAATAGATGCTTCATACAAGCTTAGTAATTTATAAAAAATAATTTTTTTTTCTTGTGAATATCCAAGCGTTGCTCGGGCAAAGAACTAGTAAAATGATAAAGTATGTCAGAACTTATTTTTCTGATTTGATTTGATCTGATTTGAATTTTTTTTTTATCTGATCTGATAAAAAAAGTAAACCTAAGGTGAACTAAACATGCCTTAGAATAAAGAGTGCACTTTTATATTGTAAAGTAAATACCTAAACCGAGGAGCTTCAATGAAATATTTGATTTAGTCTTTAAACAAGGGGTGCCACCATTTTTCTGGCCATTTCCACTATATCCTTTAGGACAAGAGCATGTGTAATTGCCAATGGTGTTCTTACATATATGAGTACAGGGGTTGCTTGGACCTTCACACTCATTAATATCTGCCAGAGGGAAAATTTGACTAATACAGTCAGTAATAATAGAGAAGATCTTTTCATAATAATTATCGAGAAATTAATGGTATTTTGATATAAAAAAAAAGGATAAATTGCCACCATAAATCTCAACTTTACTCCGTTTGCTGTTATTATTCCCCATTTCCACCCTTAAAATCGTTTTCTATTAACTTTTAATATCATTCTTCCCATTTGCAACTTGATTTCCACCACTTTATGATTTTTTTTTTTTTTTAATATATATCTATAGGATGATGTTTTGCTTTCGTTCAGAATTGCATTGATGATTTGATGAATTGTAAGCAAATTCTTGGGCAAAACAAAAGAACAAGTTTTATGAGATGAGCCATTGAGAAGTTTCCTTTCCAATCTATTTTCTTATTTACCTTGGTCTTTGGTCTTTGCTAATGATTACAGAAGAAGTTATTATTATTACTAAGTGAGCCCGATTATTAAAGTTAATTAACATTTGACGGACAAAAACTTTAGTAGCCATTTCTCAAATGGCCACCGAAAAATTTTCATAACCACATTAGCAAAATCATGAGAACATATATAATAAATAAAAAAATTCATACCCACCAATGGAACCACCGCCATAGTTTTCATTAGATTATCAGCAACAATGGCGGCAATCGAGATTGTTGTTTAGGAAGAGGGAGATTGTTGTGTAGCAACAATGACAATAATGCATGGAGATTGCCGGAGGCAGAGGAGCTAAATTAAAAGGAGAAGCCTCCATGGAAGTGGAAGACAAAGGGTGTGAGAGTAATTATATTAGCAAACTAACCTAACCTTAATTATACTTAACATTTTAATAACGGCAAGTTTACAGTTTTGATTAGAATAAAAGTTTGGGTCAAAAAAAAAAAAGATTAGAATAAAAGTTGAGTGGCACCAATTGGAAGAAAGATAAAATAAAGGTACCATCTGAAAAAGCCAATAGTTCAATGGTACCATTTGAAAAAACCCAATCATTAAATATAATTGACGCTAAGTTCAAAAACTATAGGAGGTCATAATATAGACGAAGTAAACAATTCCTTGACTTTGCATTAAAAAAAAAAAAAAATTCCTTGCCTTGGAGAAATTATGATATTTATTGTGAAGAGATAAGTTACAAGCTTACAACCACTCCCATCTATTTTTTTTTTGTCAACACACATGCATCATCTATTCATCTTTGATTAACAATGGTTCTTTCTTACCTTATTATAATTTTAAAAAATTCTTCAAAAAAAAAAAAAATGATTATTCAAAAAGTATTGAAAAGTTAATATAAATCCACAATATTAAGACAAATCTAATAAAATTTCATACGAATATATTTTTCTTTATACCTCTTTCATTCACTTTTAGTTGTAATAATTTATTTTTCACGTTTGACAACATTGTATAATTTTAGTACTGTGTATCTTAAAATATAGATAAGTAAAAAATATAGGGACAGTTTTCAAATGGCCACAACAAAATTGTGGCCATTGTATTAGATCATATCACAATCCTTTTTTTTTTTTTTTTTTTTTTTTACTAATTTGAACCGAATTTTGATATTTTTAATTTATTTTTTTTAAATGTTGACAATAAAAGAAAAAAAAGAAAAAGAATTAAAAATATCCCATTATCATTCGGTTTTCAATTTTTCGCAGATTAGTTTTTTTTTTTTTTTTTTTTTCTTACCTTACTCAATGTCAGTTTGTTTTCTTTCTTCTTAATTGTGTTGCTTCAATCCAATCCTCATCCACTTTAATTAAATTATATAAGCATAGATTTCTCAAAAATGAAAAATGAAAGCAACACCAATTAAGAAAATGAAAGCACGACATGTCGACATTGAGAAAGTCCAAGTGAAAGGACAATAAAATTCTACTTCGATGGAAAAAGTAACGGATGACGATTGACGAGCAGAAGAATTGAATGTCCAAGCAATCAAAACCTCAAAGCAGGCTGATGTTACTGAGTTTCTACACTCAACATTGCATCAAACATACAAATTTATGAGTTTAGAAGAAAAGATCACCATCGACAATTTAATCATGCATGTCGACGAAAACCCAAAAGTTCATCATCATAAAAACATACCGTGATAAAAACATACTGCACAAAAGCTTAACAAAAAGAACGAATAGTTGAACAAGAAGATGACATATACTTCTGCCAAAATAGCAAGAAAACTGGTTAAAAAAATTTGAATGATGTAAATTTTCAAGTGATGCAACTATTAAAATACGGATAAAATATATATTAGTGATATATCTGGTGTTAAAATTTTATTAGAACACGAATAAATAAGAGAACCAAAAAAGAACATAAAGTTAATACCGCGATTAATAATTTATTAAACTTGTTAAACGAACTATATTGTTTTGGTCGTTTATTTTATAGACCTTTAGCATTTTACATTTTTACTAATGGAAAATATATGGGGGAAGACTGACCTATTGTGCATCCAGGACTGAGATAGGGGTTACCCTCGTAACCACGTCTACAGTTGCAACGGTACCCGAAATCAGTGCCACCATTAACATCCGTGCAGTTGGTATTCTCCATGCAAGCATAACCGGACCCGGACCGATTCTGCTGTGCTTGTTGGCACGTCTTGTTATCACCAACATACCAATCCAGCACCACCGGAACATTGTCAATTGTTCTATTTATAAACTCTGCGTTGCTACCAAAAAGATCGGCCACGTTAAAGGTGAATTCGTTTACCTCGGCTATAAAAGCAGCACTGCAATAGGATACGTTGTTATTGGTGGTGTTTCCAACATCGATCAAAGATTCTGCTATGATCGTTACTTGTTTCAATCCTTTGTCTGGGATCACCGATTGGCAGCAGCCTCTACCCAAACACGACGTATCATTTTGCTTAAGCATAATCTCCAGTGTATCACACGTAGCTCCACAGCCACTCACGTGGCCCTGTATTGGTGTACTTGCTGCAAGCATTATAGCCAAGTCATCATCACAACCAATAGCGATGAACTTATTTGCAGTATCAGATATCACTACCGGTAAGTTGATGAGACCTATTTCCACGAAGTTGGTGGATCCATCTTCTATTTTTTGCCGTGGTTGGTAGCATTTTGTGACCAATTTATTCCTAATTCGCATCTGGCCGGTTTGGGATATCTCTATGATCTCGTGCTGAGAATCATTGCTCAACAAATATGGTTTTGGGGGGTCAGTGGAGGTGTTGCAATATATGTTGTAGGGCTCACTTAGGGAACATCCTTTCTCTAGGCCAATGCCAAATGGGTACGGAATAGTTACCTTTCCGCACTTAGTTGGGCAGCCGGGTTTGGCAATGGGAATGTTGGCGAAACTAGTGACAAAAAGCATGGCAAAAAAAGTAGACCATAGCCATAACAAGGGAGATAAAGCTCGGTCTTCCATTCTTTTGATGTCTATGGCTTATGGCAAAATTCAACCCAAAGTTATGGACCTTTAAGTACTTATTAATAATCACCTAATGATTTTTCAACAGAAACCAAGTTGGAATTATTGAGATTATTTGATCAACTAGTTGATGAAGAATATAAGTAGCTTAATGAAGCTTGACATTAAGTCCGGACTTGGTTGCACAATATAGTCCAACATTCGTTTTGTCCACTCATTATCAAGCAAGTTGTTTTTTCTGTATTTGACGTGATCATCAGCTCATTTACTCATTAAATAAGTACCTATTGAGGGGAATAATTTGTATTGTTTGTGTGTGTTTTGAAGGGAATATGGGGGACGACGTTTTCCACTTTTGTTTTGGAATAGAATGTGATGTCCCTGCAACTGTTGACCTCGGCTCATTCTAACTTCCAACACAACAAACATTGACCTTCGTTTTTTGTTTTGCAATTACTACCTTTTCCTAGCCTTATGATGTATAACTTTTCTTTTATTTTGTTCAGAAGAAAACAAATACTCCATTCGTATACATCATGTTTTGTTGTCCCACCCATAAGATTGCTCTGTATCCATTAAATTTGTTTTTGCAAGTACTTTTATTAGAAAGTAATGTAAATATGGAAGTCATATTTTTTAAATTTTTATTCATTTTGTGGTTGTACTTGAGCTATTAAGGGGAAAATATATCATTAACCGAAGCAAACTTGATGGGATATTGATATTGGTATATATGAGACAATTTTATTGAGATGGACGGTGTATTGAAAACATAATGTAATTTATGAGTAAGTTTTGCATCAGACAATGTAACACACATATATCATGCAAATGATCACTTGATGTTTGTTATTCTCTTTGTTCCTATTTATTTTGCCCCATTTGAGTTTTCATGAGAGTCTTCTTTCTCTCTATCTCTGTCATCTCCAAAAATTGCCTAGAAGTTTGTGTTTATGCAAATGATGCAACTAAAATAAGCGGAGGGAGTAGTTCCACCGAGAAAATAAGAAAGTTTTTCGGTTCCAGACTTTGATCTAGTGGACAAACACAATACTTAGGGTCAAACACCTGGGCCTGGGTTCATTCAAACTTTGGGCTGAACATAAGAAGAATTCATCTGGCCATTGGGCTGGACACCTTGGCAATGATAGACAACAGATTCATTGACTTTTAATTTTGAATTAGATAAGGTCACCATAAATGATGATTCCTCAAAAAAAAAAAAAAAAAAAAAAAAAAAAAAAAAAGTAACCAGTAACAAGTTTCATTTTCTTATTAATCAATCTAGTTAAGTTATGCAATTACAAATTTTAAAGACATTGTCATTAGCCATGAACTATTTAATAATGCATGCCACAATTATAAAGAGGAGTCAACAATAGCATTTGTGCTAGCTGTTTCAGTTTGGCTTGAGAAACAGCTCAAAATAGTGAAGTACGCTCTCACTACTCTGATAGAGATATCAACAGACCGAATTCATGGGAGTTTGGCCATCAAAACCTCGGGCCGAAGGCGACTTACATAGCCAAGAGAGTGACAATGGTAGCGCTAGATTCTGTAAGTTTGTTCTTTTCTGCATGCTAATTTCGTAGCCTATAAGTGTGAATTGAATGCAATCAGAATTAGCTTTATTTGATTTGGAATTATTACAGCACGTTTTGTTTCAAGTACATGTATGTTTTTGCGTGCTATGCTGTCTCAACCATCAATTTTTTTCTTAACTTTGTATTCCAAATTAAACGAACTAGTTTATCCAGTTGTTATACACAGCATATATCAAATTCATGAACCATATTAAGGAAGAAGAATGGATGTTCAATCATATCAACAAATTGCAAATTAATTCTTCGTTCAAATGTACATGCATAGTAATTTAGTTTTGAGATTCCTTTTAAAGTCAAAGTCAATTAGCCCACGGAGAGGATGGGAAGGGTATCACAGATCCATTTGTTTCGGGTGAAAACAATGGGACCTTGTCGAAGGTCCGGTGAAGTGGAGAAGACTGGATTCGGTCCAAGTGATGCTGGGCCGAAGGTTTCCTGCACAGTAAACACACGTAAACTAGCCTCGGGGGTGTTGCCGAGGAAGGCCCCTCCGATGCTAAAGTCAGTACAGTGTGTAGAAAGAGAACACTATGCAAGAGAGAATTAATTGCTTGAGGCTTTTCTTGAATAAATGTACAAATGTAATATTGATGGCTTTTATACCTTTACATATATGGAGAAGTTGGGCCTTAGCCCAATTGGCTTGCCTTGAGGACTGATCTTTGACTTTAGCGCAATTGGAGAGAGGAACCTTGACCTTGGGCTTTTAATTGGATCATTTAATGCCTAGGCCCAATTGGACTAAATTGGACCCAAACAACTTGCCCCCCAGACCCGATTTGGAAGGATGACGGGTCGGGTTTGATTTAATCAGAAAAGGAGGGAAGTGAATGATTTAATTAATCCAAAAATTTGAATTTAAACCGTAATTAAACCGTAATTAATGAGATAACAACAGTTAAGGCGGATAATTGTGGAAGTTGGACGGATAATGGGCAGTTTAATCGCAAGGTCGTGTGTTTAACGGTTACTTAGTGGGGTATTTAAGAGAAATTGAAACGCGGACTCCCCGTATTCCCATTTCTGGAGATATAATTAGAGGCGCGACATCTCTCCTCACTTATTCACCAACACAAACCCAGAATTCTCGAGAGAACCCAAGAACCCGCATCAAAACTTCGCAAATTCCCCAAGCATTAAGCTTAGAAACTGAGACTCGCCACTACCAATTCGTAAATCGGCAACTTTCGCTTCAGATTAAGGTAAATTCCTTTGATTTTAGTTTATTTTTCTTCGAATTTGAACTCCTTCCCTTTTTTTCGACTTTTTTCTTCGAAATTATCAATGGCGAGAGGAGTTAGGGGTAGAGCCCGTGCTCCAAGAAGAGCAAGGCCAATTCCCGATCCCAGGAACAGGATTGGGACCTGGAATGGACAAAGAGCAGAGTCTGACCCTGCTGATGGGATTAGGGCGACTCCAATTTCCTCGGCTCTTCCTCAGAGAACGGAGGGGCCGAGCGTTTCTGGGCGGGACGATGAAGTTCCCTCTGTCCTTTGGGATATCCTTCCCGGGTTTTCAGAGTGGGAGGATGCCGAAGTAGCTTCGGCCATGATAAAGAACCGCCCCTACTCATGGTGGGTGGAGAATGCCGAACAGTATCGGTTTGCCGAACAAATTGAGTTGCATTACGGCATCCTTGAAGCTGATGGGTATTGGTGCCGAATGCCCGTGGCATCCGATAGAATCCATCGTCCACCCCCGGGGTATGTGGGGGTGTACACAAGACAACTTCAGTATGGGCTGAGGTTCCCTTTGGACGTATTCGTCCGAGACTTGCTGATCCATTACAATATTTCCCTATGTCAGCTAACTCCTACTAGCATCCGAAGGGTGATGACATACTTATGGGTCTGCAAGTTCTTCAGGTATGTGCCGAACCTGCACTGTTTCAAAAAGCTTCATCGGCTAGTGCCAAATATTCAAAGTGGGCACGGAAGTCATGGTTCTGGGTGGTACCGGATTGAGTCTCGGCCCCAGTACCTAACCATGTGGCCGAACGACTCTTCAGACAAGGACTGGAGAGGTCAATGGATTTGGGTAAGGGCACCCACGGACCCGGGCAACCCTTGCGTCTTCAGCGCTCCCCGGTACCTTGCTGAGCCTGATCCCGACATGGGAAGTTTAGGTCCCCCCGCAGATAACGGCCCAGATCCGAACCTTAATCAACAGAATATCTTCGGCAAGCTGCCGAACCGGGGGGGCAGCGGCCGAATGCAGCATATCCCGGAGACTTGGCTCCCCGATACACATTATGTTTTCCAAGAGAACATGCTAGCAGCTGTCGGCCTCAGCCGAAAGTTTAAGGATGGTAAGCTTCTTCGGCTGGGGCCGAGGCCTTTTAATTATCTCTTTTTCTCCTCTTTCACTTCGCTTTTTTATGCTGTGCCAACCTAACTGGACTGACCTTTCCCCTTTTCTTTTCCAGAGCGGGACGAGACCAACGTCGGCATTAACTACGCTCGTCTTGGCGTCAACCGAGAACGAGTTGTAACTGATCGGGCCCCCTCTATCACTGAACCGAGGCATAGAGAAGTTCATCTAGACTCTTCCCACTTCCAAATTGAGGTTGTTGCTCTGTATCAGAGGCAGAAGCCTTGGTGGAAGAAGAGAGATCCCTGGTTTCAGCTGCTGGACGAAGAAGCTGAAGCTGCCCGTACGGCCGAAGAGGTTGCACGGGCTATTGAAGCTTGTGAAGGAGGAGAAGGGTCCTCTAGGGCTGCTGAAGAAGAAGCTGCAGCTAGGGCAGCTGAAGAAGACGAGGCTTTGCTGAAGACCTCGGTGAGCTTTCAGACTTAATTTTGTCTGTTTCTGTTTGTTGTTTTGTTGTTTTTTTTACTCACATTCTTCCTCCCCCCCTGTCTTTTACAGTCTGAAGAGAGTAATAGACACAGAGAAGGGAAAGCCCCTGTTCGTCCCGAAGACCAGATACAAGAAGAGTCCTCAGACTCAGACATGGACGAGCAGCCGCTTCAGAAAAGGCGCCGAAGAATGGCCATCATCGGCCCCCATGACTTTCAGCGGAGGCCGATGACCATCGGCGTCGAAATAAGGGAACCCGAGGAAGGCAATGGATCGCCGAGGGTTCCCCGGCTACCACCTCAATCACCTCCCAAGACCCCTCCGCCACCTCCCGAGATGGAGGTGGATTAGAAAACTCCCGAACCTAAGGGAGGGGTCCAAGAAGAAGTTCAAGAGAGTGCTGCTGAGCACAAGAATGGGGATGCCGTGATGCCCAGTGCTGAGGGTTTCACGGCAGACATTGCAAGAGAGGTTGAGGCCTTCGTCCTCACCCCTGAAGAAGAAGAAGTCATAATAATTGACTCTTCTGAGAAGAAGGAGGATGCTGAGCCATCCAAAGTTAAAGAAGCTCCATCGTCATCCTTTCCTTCCTTCCAGACTC